CTTTCCGCATTGTGTGGACCGTATTTAAAGGCAAACACAGTCAGATACCCGGAATTTTCGGACTACCTGAGCTCAAACACCAAATTTCGAGAGATTTCATTCAAAATCCTAGAATTTTGTTAGGGTTAATTTTTTCACTCATAGTTCCCCGTGGGTAATATCCATCTCGCACGCAAATACCCAAACCCGATTTTCAGATTTCCTTTATAACAAAACCCGATCTCATCTCATATAGGTACTTACCCGAGTGGTGCACCGATGAGGCGAGAAACAGACAGTTGTTGCATGTACTCTGACATATCGATTCTCACGAGCAAATTCTCGTCGTCAAAGAGTTGCTCAGCGAGAGCCTTAGCAAGCTCGTTTTTTCCCACACCTGTCAGACCCAAGAATAGGAATGTTCCGATCGGATGATGTGGCCTTCCTATCCCAGCCCTCGACCTTAAGATGGCCTCAGCAACAGCCTTCACCGCAAGACCTTGACCCACAACCCTCTTCTGCAGCCTATCACAGAGAAACATCAGCCTCTCCTTCTCGTCCCGGTCAAGTCTTGCCACCGGAATTCCAGTCCACCGGCTCACCACTTCGGCAATGTGTTTCATACCGACAGTTCCGGGAGTGTTCTCTTCCGAGATTGATTCGAGTTGGGCGATTTCCCATTCCACTTCTTTGATTTTCCGATATAGCAAACCAGCAGCTCGGCCAATGTTTTGAATCATCTCTGCCTCCTGAAGAGAAAGCATGAGCTCCTCCCTCTTCTGTTTAAGCCGGGGGATCTCCTTGATTCTCTGTTTCGCCTTCCAGAACTTCATTTTCCGATGATTAAGCATGTTCGTCAAGTCAATACGTTCTTTCCGAAACTATAGATCCATGTTGATTTGTACAAGACGAAAAATGTTAGATCAGCATAACCAACGTGAAAAAAAAAAACGAATCTTGTAGGTGCCAATGTTTCTGTTTCTTACCTCCACGCACTGAGCTTTGTCCTTCTCCGTCTCACATAATTCAGATAACTGGGATTTCTTCCCCTCGAGGTTATCGATTTCTGTAGATAAGCTATCGAGCTGGACTCTTGCATTTGCACAAGCCTCGTCGACTAAATCAATCGCCTTATCAGGCAGATGCCAACCTAACAAGACACAGAAACATTAAAAATGTCCAGATCAAGAAATCAAGACCTAGAATATGTCAACAGACCAGTTATGTAACGAGAAGACAGCTGAGCAGCAACGACAAGAGCCCTGTCCTGGATGTGGACGCCGTGGTGTCCCTCGTATTTCTCTTTCAGCCCTCGGAGAATAGATATGGTGTCGGGAACACTAGGCTCATAGACGAACACTTGCTGAAACCCTCTATCTAAGACGGAGTCTTTCTCGACGTATTTCCGGTATTTCTTGAGCGTAGTAGCTCCGATGCATCGAAGCCGGCCTCTTGCAATCATGGGCTTGAACAGATTGGCCACATCCACAAGAACCGAATGGATCTCATCTATAAAGAGAATAACTTTACCTTCAGCTTCCTCGGCTTCTTTCAGCACATCTTTCAGTCTTTCTTCAAAGTCTCCTCGGCATTTCACTTCACCGAGCAAAGCAACCATGTCCAAAGCAATGAGCTTTACATCAGAAAGCTTCCTAGGAACATTTCCTTTCATAATCCATTGCGCCAAGCCTTCCACGACAGCAGTTTTCCCGACACCTGGTTCACCAATTAGCACCGGGTTGTTCTTCCTTTTTCTCGAGAGAATCCAAATAACCCTTTCTTGTTGGACCAGATCTCTTCCATAAGTCTTCAGAGCCTGAAACAATGTCTCACCAGAAGCACTCTCCACTTTCTTCCCCTCTTTCTCAACAAGCTTCTCGAACTCAGACTTCACTCTCGAAGGATCAACTCCGGCTTCTTTGAACGATTCCCCGATCTGGGGATCTTCAAGAAGACCGAAAACCAACTGGTCCGGGGTCAAAAGTGCGTGGCCAAGAGATCTCTGCACGGCCTGAGCACGAAGAACCGTCTGGACGAGGCTCATGTCCACCGGAATCTCACCAGACGGCGGAGACTGCGCCGGGAGATTCTTCAAGGCTTGGTTGATTGCTCTCTCGGCTGATTCAACCGCGTCTTCGCTCCCTGCGCTTGAAATTGCTCGTGGGAAGATTCCAGATGAATCAGAGATCAGAGCAGCTGCCATGTGCAAGGGAGTGAACTCTGCATGACCAGCATTCGTTGCAAGAACACGAGCAGTGGAAATGACTCCGTTGGTCTCGCGTGTGAACTTCTCAGGGTTCATATCCACTTAATTATATCCCTAATCAGAATCGAAATTAGAGCAATTTGTGAAATGGGAAATCCCTTGATCATCGTAAAACCCTCTATGGGTTCTAAAAATCGAGCCTTTCTTTTATCGGGAATCATGATTTTTTACATGAACAAGGGATATAAGTTTTTAAAGAACATGAAAACGATGAGAGATTCCGACATACCTCCAGAGACTACGACGACCGGGTTTCTGTCGAATGACCTCTTCTTCTTCTTATCAAAGCTTTCCCGAGAAACAAACATCCTTTTTCCTGGAGAATTTAGCAGTGTAATTTGGTTTGAACAGAGAGCGACAAATGAAGTAGGTCAAGAAGAGAGAAATGTGGAAGAAAATCGAATCGCCATGGCCATTGGAACTGGAAGCGTCATGATGATCATGCACGCAGAGAGAGAGATCGCCAGTTCCACAGTTCCCTATTGCCACGTGGATTTTCGCTTTTACTCCTACGCCATGTACGGCTCGGAATTATAACATATTTATTTGATAATAGAATTAAATAATGAGAACTAGATAAATAGGCTGTTTTTATAAGAAATATTTAAACAAACAGATTTTTTATTTGTCTGAAAACTAAATTCTTATTATTAAAAATTTAAAACACACACAAAAAAAGTACATACTAAAGCCTGTTGTTAATTATTAATAGCAAAATTTATGCTCTAAAGATGCTATTTTTTAAAATTTGATAAATTCAAATTCAAATTTATTTAGTCTTCATTTCCTACTAAGAATTCTTGAAAATCTCCACATGTTACTAATTTTGAGTGTTTTTAAAATCACAGAATTCTTGAAACAAATAATTGAAATTGCAAATAGATTTTCCATTCAGGGATACAATTGAGAACAACAAAAATTTTATTGACCATTCACAAATTTGTTGGCAACTACCATCAAAACATTTTTTTGATTAACTAAGATGTGTCCGACCCTCCATTGCATACTCCGATTCCTCTGCTGGAATCGAACCAGGATCTTGAAACATCAACTGTTTGGGAGGTTGCTACATAAGTTACATAAACCATCATATTACAGCTTCTAAATATTATCATCATGCATTTCAATTTGATTATAATATATTGGCGGATAATTATAAAGTCGAGATGCATATAACAATCTCTAGAAAATATCAATACACTGAAAAAATGGTGGAAGGGTTTACATGAAGCTCTCCCGTAAAGAATCAAACATAACAGGACAAAAATCGTTTCTTCCGACACTAGCTTCCAAACCCACCGGAAAAGCCACCAATCACCACTGCCGCCACCGTTATTCATCATAACCATGGTCACCACCATGGGCGGATCTACATGTTGATGAGTGGGGTCCCATGCCCCCACTCAATTACATAAATTTTAATTAGTTTCTTCAAAAAACTATAAAATAATTAAATAATATTTATAAATGCCCCCATTCAAAATATTTGTTTGCCCCCGTAACATTTTTTTCTTTACTTATCTCAATTTCTTTGTGGGCCCACTTTTTTAATTTAGTCTTTCTTAGTTTCTTTCCTAAAATCTAGGGTTAGATTAAGTAATATACATTTTTTTTTTACATTTTTATCTTCTTCGTATATACATATAGTTTTCTAAAAATTATCAAAAAAATACAGAACAATTAATAGAATTAAATTATATAAATATTGTGATTTTAATTTTAAAAAAATATTATTTTTATTTATTATTTTCTATATTTTGATCATATTTATTAATTTACTATTCTATAATATTTACTTAATATTTTATATTTGACTTGATAGAAAAATTAATGGATAATTTTTTTAAAAAAATTTTGCATCGATAACTCAATATACTGGTAAAATTCAATCAGTAATGTATCAAAATTTTAAATTAACCTTTTAATGTTTGAACAAATTGATTTGGATGATTTGTTTTCAAATCACATTGATAGAAAAAATATTAGAATATTATACTAATCAAAAGATTGGATAAGATGTAAATATTTTATGAGATAAAATCATGTGATCATAACTTTCCAAAAAAATATGAAAAACATTTAGACTATTTAATCCACTCTAGTTTAAATGGATCATTTATGTTAGAATATAACATAAATGATCGATTTGTACATATTGTTATGAATTTACCGAGAATTTAATAAATGTTTTGAAGAGAAATTCATAATTATTCATTTGTATTATAATTTTAAATTTTATTGACTCATTTCGTGAGTTTAATATTTCAAATCTAATGCAATTGACTAAATTTTATCAAAAAAAACTATGAATATATTTTATCAAAAAAAATATTTTAAATAATTACAAATAAAATTATTATGTATAGATTTTAAAAAATAAAAAATTGTAGCATTAATGTAAAATATAAATATTTTTTAGGTGATATATATTTATTAATTTTTTTTATTTTATACGTATTTAATTGTGCCCCGTTAATTTTTTTTTCTGGATCCGCCACTGGTCACCACCAGCAACCATAACCATAATCACCGACTTCATCATAATCATCGTGATCTTCTCCACCGTCACTAAAATTGCCAATACTATCTCCATATTCATCATAACCATGCTCACCACCCGCATCATAATCCCAACCATAACCATAATCATCGTGGTCATCATAATCATCAGCATCGCAATCGTAAAAATCACCGCCATAAACCGTAGCCATCGTCTTCTTCAACTCTCGACCAAACCGTAGTCCCAACTGCGATGTCTTCAACCTGAAGCCGGGTAACTTTACTATCAGCTGCTCGTGCCAGAGCTCTTTAGGAATGCACGTATTCTAAGAACATGCATGTAAACGATGAGAGATACTCCGACATACCTTGGGAATACGACAGCTGGGTCTCTTAGCAGAGTTTTCCCGAGAAACAAACAACCTTTTCTTGGAGAATTTAGCAGTGTAATGGGAGTGAAGGGCTTTTTATCGAGGACATAAATTTGGAAGAAAATCGAATCGTCATGGCCATTGGAACTAGAAACATCATCATGGCCTTTGGAACGGGAAGCGTCATGGTCATGCACTTTCTTTAATCTCCTGTTGCCACGTGGATTTTCGCAGTCCCTAGGGCTCGATTTTGTATGAAAACTAGCTAAACCGGCTGATTTTATAAGATGATTCTAAAAAAAAACGGACCCACGGCTTTTTCCGCTTCTGAAAACTAAATTTTTATTATTAAAACATAAACAGAAAAACAAAATCATGAAATTAAATGCTCTAAAAATGCTGTTTTCTTATATTTGATTTGATGACAAAACAATGTTATTTTTTAAAAACATTGAAAATCCGACTTCAAATTTCAGAAAGTTTTTTTTAATTATGTCCCATCAAATAAATTGTATCAGATGTTTTAGTAAATATTATTGGAATATTAAGTGCAAAGTTATCTTTTTTCATATTTAAATCATATATACATACATATTATTTATATCGTATTAATTAAGAAATCGGTCCTAAACGGACATAAAAATGTTACAATATTTTTTTTTATAAACTTAGAACCGAACCCGGTTTAGAGTCAAACAAAAATTGAGCTAGTCAAAGGCCCATGTTTTTATGAGTCTTTTAAATCAACGGTCAAGATGATAGCATGGTGTACATCTGTGTTGCACCAGATCATCTACCGTTGAGGATGATGAGATGACTCCGGTGAGGAAAAAAGGAAAAGGAAAATAAGCGAGAGATAAAATTCAAAGAAGAAGAAGAAAACGATCTGGTTCCGAGCCCGAGACCTCTCGTCCCTTCAATTTCCCCAAATCCAATCCCAAATTTCTGTCGAGATAGAGAACGAACGGGATGGATTTTACTTTTACCTTTACGTTGACGAAAAAGTTAAGCTTGGAGAGAGAATGAACACGTAGTGGAATTTTGTCCGTGTTCCCAACGAAGGACCAGGAAGAGAACACGATACTCACCTTCAGTTTTCTTCTTCATCATATTGTTTTCTCCTCCGATTTTCCCGTCAATCTTGTTTCCCGTGATTCTCGTGGAGTTTCCCCTCTGGGTTCGATGTCGAGCGAAGCTTCTTCTCCGGGGTTACGTGTGTTCGGGTTGGGCACAGTCGAAGATTATAGCCTTGTGAGTGTAATTTCTAATAACTTTTTTCTTGAATCTCTAGGGCTGTTCGGATTCCAAGAAAGTGTGGATAAGGGAAAGATAATGTCTTTTCTCTGAATTGAGAAGTTTGTATCTGAATGATGAACCCTTTGGGGATCGAGATGAAAGCTCTGCCAATAATGCATGAAGTTTTGCTTTTGTTCATCTTTTTGTTCTACTGAGTGATGTTGGATTACCTCTATCGAGTTTTGTTAGTGAATTCAGTGTCCAATAATCTAAGGATGTTCCCAATTACATTACATGTCGAGGGAAAAGCCGAAGAAAGACAAGGAAGTTTCTGGATTGCATTAGTTTTTAGTTGATTGTCTGAAATTTTCGTGGTCTATCTTCAGGTCAGTGAAGCAGACCACTCGTTGCCTTTAGATATACACAATCAGGTTTTCCAACTCGTGGAGAAAGGAAACCAATCATTCAAAGAGTCCCGTTTTGAGGAGGTGAAGATATCATTTTCTTGCATTAAATGGTTATGCTTTTAGTTCTGTTGTGTTGACTCGGTTTTATGTCATCGTTGCATTGATGTTTTTATCTGGTGTTCCATGTTTGGAGAATGCTCTCTGCTTTTGCTTCTTGATGCAATTGGTGTAGAGATTGCCCGGTGATTTAGTATAGTATATAGTTTAGCATTTTCAAAAGACCCATTTCGTTAGATTCTTTGGTAGAGCTTCTTGTGAATTTGAAAGAGAAAGCCTCTTTTTTAGCTGTCTCAAGACACCCATCTAGCCATTTTGAGGGTTCTATGGAATTCCACCTCTTGGAATATATGGCTTATGAAATTTGCCATAATGAACATGGTATTAGCAAATTCCCCTCGGTATCTATGATGATATGATCTAGCTTTGTGGCGATGGTAAGAAAAGAACTCCTGATTAACATGTTTCTTCGTAGAATTTGATTTAGAAATCCTGGTTATTCCTGGGTAATCTAAAGCTTCGGTGTCGAAGTTCTGATTTGAAGCCTGATATTGTTGTATCTAGAAATCTAGTGAGCCCTTATTGTAAGATTTTAAAAGGCTTTCCTTATGTTCTTTTTTATTGCCAAGGGTGAAGCTTTCTCTTTTTTTGATTTTCAGGCAATTAGTAGCTATTCAAGAGCCAATTCTGTTAAGCCTTTTGATCCTATTGTTTTAAGCAACAGAAGTGCTGCATATGTAAGGTCTGTCCGAATTTAAGATCAAATAACATTTTGTGTAATTGCCTCTTGCCCTTTTCCTGGGATACATCTAGGTTTTAGTGCTGACATGCTCTTCTCTCTCTCATGTTTTCTTTGTTTTCAGTCTTGGTCAATTCCTGAAACAAAGGTCTGCATCGGTTTCTGAATATAGACCTCTGAATGGATTTGATGTGACGATGCTCGGGGAAGTATGTCTTTGTCCAAATAGCTTAACCTCGCCCTGAAAATCACTTGAAAAAAAATGAAAAAACAAAACATGCATTTGTTATTTCCCTACAGCTTGCTCTTAAGGATGCTGACAAGCTAATGAATCTGAGGAACAGTTCAGTAAAGTCTTATATTATAAAGGCCAGTGCTCTGATGTTGGTACGTGATGTGTTTTTCTTTCCTTCTTTTTCATGGAAATCAAATTGAAATTTTCCTTTCTCTTCTTCTTTTCAATAATATTTTGGCCCAGTTCGTGTTATACGTGATCATTTTATTTGATTCTGCAGCTAGAAAGATATGAAATGGCACGTGATGCTATCCTCTTAGGCCTTCAGATTGATCCCTTTAGGTACTATAGTATATGCATGACATACTGGATTCCATATCAATTCCTTATCGAATGTATCGATTTTGAAAATTTGAAGTTTCTTCTGATCGCATGAAGCGATCCTCTCCGATCGAATCTTCAGGAATTGGAGAAGGCTCTACCCGGTCTGATGAGTAAAACCCATGGAAAGACAGAGCGGTCCGATGACTTCGACTGCACCCTTTGTCTGAAATTGCTATATGAGCCTGTTACAACTTCATGTGGGCATACATTCTGCAGATCTTGTCTTTTTCAGTCAATGGATCGAGGTGGGTTTACAGGACCATGTCTTTGGTTTACTCTCTCTAGCTTCTCTTTCTTCACTGTCATGTTGCTCATTTTTGCTCTTTGGCATGTAGGTAACAAATGCCCACTGTGTCGAACTGTACTTTTCATCACTCCAAGAACATGTGCTGTGAGGTAACAAACATGTTTGGTCTGATCTTCGATAAAAAAATATAATTATTTTATCGTCTGCTTTGCTTGATAGGAACTGTACCTGGAATTTCTGTTGCAATGCGATAATCGATAAACTAAGAGGCGTACTTGTTATGCTTGTGCAATGAAATTAACAGAGGTTACTGACTAAAACCAGAACCCGTTCTTTTCACGTTAGAATATGGTTTTTACTCGATGATTTCCTCAACTTTTGTTACCAGACCAGCTATCATTAATATGATCTAGAACTTTGTTCTTCTCTGCAATGCATGCACTAGCATACATGTTTTTCTTCAATGCCATGGTCACTTGAATCCTTGGGCTTTGTGTTAAATTTCTTATTCTGAAGCAATAACGGTTTTGTCAGCGTGACACTCAACAACGTTATACAAAAAAACTTTCCGGATGAATATGCTGAAAGGAAGTCAGAGCAGAATACTTTGACCCACATGGGAAATGATACAATGCCTCTTTTTGTCATGGATGTGATCATCCCTTGCCAGAAGTTGTCACTTCACATATTTGAACCAAGATACAGGCTAATGGTGAGTTTTTCTTTTTTCAGTTTTATTTTACTTTAGTATTTCATTTGTTAATTTCTCTGGAATTCTTAAATTCTAGTGTTAAACCGGTTAGAAAGATTTACACTGGCAGCATTTTTGTCTTGGATTCAACCATGTTTTTTGCAATTTTAATTAACATGTGCCAACTTAAACTAGGTGAGAAGAATAATGGAAGGAAATCATCGGATGGGGATGGTAGAGTGCTCTGCTCTTTCCCGTTACTTATTGCTTATTTAACTTCAAATTCCTAAACTTTTTCTGACTCATGAATTTTTTGCCATCTCGATTTTCGTAGGTAGCTCTCGATCCTGCAACAGGTTCTCCATTTGATTTTGCTTGTGAAGTTGAGATCACAGAGTATGTTGCCTTTTCTTTTTCTTTTTTCTTTTTCTCCTTCATTTTTTTCTGGGTGTTATATCGGGACGAACTCACCCAAGCTTGAGTTGTGCAGGTGTGATCCACTCCCAGATGGGCGCTTTGTTCTTGAGGTGAATATGTGTAATTATATTCTCTATCTACCTCTTTTAATGGGGATTTCCACCCATTATCGCTTTCTGTGATTTATTTCAGAGTTCTTATGATGTGAGCACTGTTGTCCCTTCTTATATAAGCGTTAAAAAAGCAAAGAAAACACCCGAAACCTAATAAACTCATAAAAATAAAAAACATAAATTAAATCATAGTCTAATAGTTCTTTTGCACTATCTCGTGGTCAAGTCGTTGCATGATTAATCGAGTGTTTGCTGCATGCAGCTTGAAAGCCGCAGAAGGTGCCACATTTTAAAATCTTGGGATCAAGATGGGTAAGCTTTTCATATACTTATTTAGCACTTTGCAGATCTTACCATTCATGATTTTTTTGCTTCTCTTCCATTAATCTGAAATTGTTAAAAGATGAAATGTTATAGAACAAAAATTATACTTCTTGGACTTTCCTACAAGTCAAATCATTCAAAATCCTTGTACTATCGGTTTTGCTTCCAGGTATCGTGTGGCAGAGGTTGAATGGGTGACGGATATACCACCGCAAACCGACCAGGGCAAAACAGATGTATGATTACTGAAACTCTCAACAAAATACCGTCTTTTGCTTTGCTTGCTTCTGTAGTAAAGTTTTGTTTGTTAATTCATCTTTCATGAGAATACGATAAACCTGCTAAAATGCAAATATATTTACAGAGGCATATTAGTCTTACTTTCGTGAAAATTAACACTTCTTCCAATGCAGCTGAAAATTTCTCTTAAGAGATGTGAATTCGAAAAAGTCGAGACACTGACATTGATTTTACAAACTAATGACTTATATGACCGTGGAACAACTAGAGATATCGTCTTTTCTTCACTCTTTGGCTAGTCATGTAACGTTCCATGTCAGAACTATGACTTTCATCAATATCAGAACTGTGAGCAGATATTGATTTCAGTTGTAACTCTTATGGCTTCTTACAGTTATGCGAACTGGCAGACAGTGCAGCCGGATTTGCTCGGTCATGGCTGCAGAGAGCAAAGGAAGCAGCTAGACAAGGAGGTAAGCAATATGAGTTAGCTTAGAACGGGGAAGTTGAACTCTCACGAGATTTAATCTCCTACCAGTCGAAAGAAAAATGAATTACTATGGAGCATTATCAGGTTTTGGACAAGAATTTACCGGTGTGTCTCTAGTTCCTTTGTATTCTCCTTGTTTTTCAGACATGATTGATTTTGTTCCTGTTTTGATTGATCAGATAGGAGAAGGCTCGAAATACTTCTGAATGTTGAATCTATGATACCGACACCTCAAGATCCAGAGCGATTCAGTTTCTGGGTATTGGGTTTTATTATCCGCATTCTCTCTACCTCTCTCTCTAGAATGAACAAAGTTTTTGGCAATGCTATTGAACTGAATTCTGCACAATGGGTTTTCAGCTTGTTACCTTGACGGATCGAAGACCTTCGGAAAGATTGGAACTTTTACGCCTCCAAGATACTGGAGAGGTACTGAAATATTATCGTCCGGTATTTTCCGTGAAGGGCTTTGCATTAACGTTAAGGATCTCGAATATGAAGCTGCTTGTTAATCCTAATCTGATTTCTTGATCCCGTTTATCGCTAAATGTTTGTCGCAGAGAATAAGGCGCGGACTGATATATCTTCGATCAGAAGAACGCGGATGCAGAATGCAATAAAACTGGCCTGGAAACTTCGTAGAACGGTACAAGAAAACTGGAATCTGTTCAGAAGAAGCAGAGTGTTCTTTGGAGAGAAACAGAGTATGAAAGAAACTGAATGAAGAAATCCATGTAAAATATATATTATGGATGATGATGAAAGCTTTAAAGATCTAACAAAAGCGCTATTTATTTGTTGGAAGGAAAGATTCACATGAATGATCGTCTTTGGATCCATTGTAATATTATTCATGCCTTATTGTAATTTACCATATTGACTGTTTTCAGAGAAACTGAAATTCTTTGATGTTATATTCTCCTTGGGACTTGTTTCAATTCCTTCTGGCTTTTGGTTGTATGGTTATATTTTGTTCCTAGGTAAAGTTCACCCTTCAGACAGCATGACATCATGAATCAGAACATGACATCAGCTTGGTTACATCATCATCATCTAGACAGGAATTGAAGTTTAAAGCCACATTCCTTTCAAAAAGGTTTACATATATAATTATAGATATATACATCCACATATACTTGGAAAGATGTAAGCTTAAGAAAATATCATAATCGCAGGCCTGGCTCTATACATTCCAGCATGCCTTGAGTTATATATCAGAAGACAGACATAAAAAATCAATAAGCTCTCAAATTTGTTATCTATAACATTATATAATATGCAATAGCATTAACAAAACTGCATCACCACCCTCTTGAATCTCGGATCTTATCCAATAAATCACGGTTCCTGCAGCTGATGCCATGTCAGTTCTTGGAGCTTTCTTTTTCTTCTTCTTCTTCTTCTTCTGGTTTCTCTTGTCATTATCAGACAAATCTCCACAAGCTACTTCCTCTGTTTCTTACCTGCAAGTTCAAAAGGTCAAAACTTTGATGTTATGGTCTCCGAATCTTGATCAAATCCGATTAAAACCAGACAATACTAGCTGTTTTTCCGAGCATTTTGTCAAGAAACCCGATTGAAACATAGTTTCTTTTTACCTTTGTGGAACCATGATTTACGAACTAGATGGCGGATCTGACGTTCATGACGTTCCAAGAGCTCATCGACTCCATAAGATTGAGACAAGACAGGGCCGGAGAATTGAATCTTGTCCCCATCATCTTGACAACACTGTCGCAGCTTTAAACCCATTAGTATCATTCAGCATGCTTGTCAGTTAAAACTCCTAAAAAGCAGAAATGATGTCCTAAGCAATAATCATATCTACTTTTGCTTTCCTTTTCTTTAACATCATGGGCTTTAGACTCTCTGTAAAACTAGAATCTGGATGTTTAATATTTATACTTTGCAATATGAAGGAGATCACATTTACCCAATCCATTTTGATATTACATAGTTTCAGTCAACAGATTGCAACATAAAAGGCTAGAAATTTACATTTTCGGATCTTATTCTAAGGATAATGGCTGTAGATATAACTTCATATATCATATTTCCAGATGTATTTTTCGTTTCTTACTGAAACAAGATCAGTTTGGGGCAATCTACCAGGGAACTACACTCAGTTCCTATCATGCATATAGCGGTTAAACTGCCACGGAAACAATGCAGACTCTGTTAAAGAATCAAGAACGGTTGAACTATAGCTTCTACAATCTATAGACGTACCAAATTACCGAGTTTTGCAGCCATTTCTTCTCTCTGATACATTGCCAGTGACAGTTCCTGTGAACGATACTCCTCCGAAGCATCGAAAGAATCCGGGCGTTCGAGTTGGCTCCACTGCTTCAGCAAAGAACGTTTCATCATCTCGTATGACTCACGGCTCTGGGAATCTGTTCTGGCCCCATCTTTATCTTCCTTATCGTTCTCACTCATCTTAGATTCAACGTCACTTTTACCGGTCTGGGCAGGAGAAGGTCCCAAGAGGTTAGGAATGTGGCCTCTCGAGAGAGATCTATTATGTGACCTAACGCACGCATCATCTTTTCTACGCTTTGCCCACGCAAAACCACTCGATACGGAAACTTGTAATGGCCCTGAGAAAGGTACATCTCCTTGTGATGCATTCTTCGGATGAGAAGCTTCATCTTTCTCGTGATGATCCGATGGTTTTTGGAGGAGTTGTCCACCTAACCCGGCATCACTTTCAATCGAATTATGAATGGAGTGACCGTAACGTTTCTGAAGGCCTCGGGTTTTGGGTACTACATCCTGCAAAGCCGAAAAATGGAAACTTTTAGCATTTTTAGTATAAGGGTCTCAAGTTGCACAGTAAATGTAAACCAGAGAAGAAGTGGGAGGGACCTCGAGTGGTGCCAATTTAGTGAAAGCAAGTGGCTTTCGAGTTGCCTTCCTCGTTTCTGTACACCGAGCTCTTCCATTACCATTACCACTAGTCGTTTTCCTGGACACCCAACAAATGTACAAGAAAATTTCCATTACTGTACATGGAAATGAAGAAAAAGCTTCGAAATTTGACATACAAGAGCCCCAAAAAAAGGTTCTACGCCTCGAAGCAAGCCGTTCCCCAATGGTAATATCATGCAACACCTGTAAGAATTGCTATATCGGATTACGAATAAGAACTCTCACCTTGTTGTTTCTTCTCGATGCTTTGCATCAATCTCCTTGCTTGGTGGGTATACCGGTAAACTCAAGGGATCACAAGCATAAGGCTCTGTCACAAAATACTGAAAAAGGAAAAACAGGAAAAAGATGCATTTACTCGAAGCGATATTTTATAACAATAAAACACGAAAAACCGTATTTATGAAAATTTTCGAATTCTACATCTTCATACTCAGAAGGACTGGTGAGATATTTAAGGAAAGAAAAAAATGGTTACCTCTGAAACAAGGGCAGAAGAGGCAGTCCCACGTTTGTGAGGCTCGATAGAAAGAAGAGTTTCTATCAGATTAACTTCAGATTCGGACAAATCTTTCAAGGTTTCTCGGAGACAACCGTCGTAATGTTGTTGCGGTTTGAACAGCATTGCATGAGGAAGTTTGGATTTTTTCCAGTAATCTGATGGTGGAGATCCACACAGCTTGAATATCTTGTGCAATTGTTCAACCTGTAGCATAAATTTCCCACGAAACCATTATGCAAATTTAGTTTCAGTGAATGCCACAGGACAATATACAGAATAGCCTTTACCGAAGGCGATATTCAGGATTGAAACTATACGTAAACGATATTTTATGAGATGATAATTCCTCGTGTACCTCAGTTCTTCCTTGGAGAATCGGCCTGCCTAGCAGAAGCTCGGCAAAAACGCAACCAACACTCCACAAATCGACAAACGCTCCATAGTCTGTTGCCCCGAGCAAAAGCTCGGGTGGACGGTACCAGAGAGTCACGACTCGGCTCGTGAGGGGTTGTTGCTTGTTCCCGGAAGAATTACAGAAATTCGCAAGCCCGAAATCAGCCACCTTTAATATTCCTTCGTTATTCACCAAAAGATTTGAACCCTTTATGTCCCGATGCATAACGCCTCGTGAGTGACAATGATCGAGTCCAGACATTAACTGCTTCATGTAACATTTGATCTGCAAGGCAACAACAATAACATTTTGTCTTACTATACACAATGCAGAGGAAAATCTTACGATATCGAGTGACTATACTCTCGAATGAACCTGTGGAGTAGAGAACTTGATGTCGGGACAAGAAAGAAGACCGGTGAGATCATGCTCCATGTACTCGAACACGAGATAAATGTTGCAGGATAGTTTGGAAGTAACTAAACCTTCCAGTTTGATAATGTTGGGATGATCGAGCCTTCGAAGAATCAAAATCTCTCGGGCCATGAACCTTACGCTCTCTGGCTCGAAATTGTCGAACCTCACCTTTTTTAGAGCTACTATCCTCCCAGTTTCGAGCTCTCGAGCTCGGAACACATTGCTGTATGTACCTTGTCCGATCTAGACAACAACCAATACAATATCCAATCATTTTCACAGAATTTGAACAAATGGTGTTTCAAAATGGAGTTGAAAACTCAAAAGGGTTTCATCTCGTGCAGCGCTTCAGTTTCAGGGGAAAGATAAAGTCTCAATCTTTAACCCTAATATCTGAAAATCTGCTAAGAATGGTAAAACTTGGATCTTCATGTACATCATACATATAGCATCTACTGATGTACATGTATCTAGATAGAAAGAAATTGAAAGAAACCTTCTCGAGCTTTTCGAAAGCGTCAGATCGAAGTGGGATCCATCCGTGGATGGCATCGCCGGCAACGTTGCTGAGCCACGCCGGCCAACCGGCGGCCACCTGCTCGGCTTCCAGGTACCTGCTAAGGTTCCCGAGCCGGAAGCTCAGCGACTCGCTCCGGCAAGTCAAACTCGCCCGACCCGACTCGCTCAACTCGCTCCCCAACTCACTACTATGTGACCTAACGCACGCATCATCTTTTCTACGCTTTGCCCACGCAAAACCACTCGATACGGAAACTTGTAATGGCCCTGAGAAAGGTACATCTCCTTGTGATGCTTCTTGCTCCTCCTCCTCCCGCTCTTGCTCCCGCTCTTGCTCCTCCAAGCCACGACCGACTTCTTCTCAGGCACCGGATCCTCCGCCCCGATTCGACCCGACCCGGAACCCGCATTGTCCCTGAAAACGCCCGAGTGGTCAATTGCAGGCGTCACAGAGACTGTCTGCTTCGAGCTTACACAGCCCATCAAACCCACATGCGACCTTTTGATCTCCACCGGCCCGGCGACGACCCGACCCGATTGAGATCCCGGACAGAACCCGAAAACGAGTCGGCTGAATCTTCTGAAACAACAGAGGAGCAGACAGTGAAACAGTTGAGGTTTTTTTGTTTTTATACAAAAAAAAAGAATTTAGGAATGTTTTTCTTCCCACTTTTGACTTTTGCGTGAATTGCGGAAGACGACGGTCGATTAAATTTGGCACCTTTCCATTTTTTTAATTTAATCATGGAAACTATAAAAATCAAAGCTTTAAAGATCGAAAACCGAAATCCTCGGGATGGTCTCGCAATGATGACGCCTTCTTCCACTTATGTTGTTTTCCTTGTTCGTGTTTTATCTATTTTATTTATTTTTTTATAATCTATAAATTCACCAATATTTTAATCTGATTCGATCCTGGATTGAATATGAGTTTTGCTCTCTCTTTATCAGTTAAATCACTCAATCTTAAATTATGTATTTTATTTTTTTATCTCCCGTAATTTTTTTAAATTATTTTGGTTTTGTTAATTACTAATTATAATCAATAATTATACATTTATAATTAGAAATAGAATTATAAATTATAATGATGGTACTCTGTATATATATATACACATATTCCCATATTCCCCCATTCCGAAACTATATATGTATATAGATATACACGTGTCGTATGAACTATTTGAACAAGTGAGTGATGTGAAAATATATGTACATGGCATGATGGATGGATGAATAAGGCCATAAGAGATGACATGATGGTGGGTTGTTGTTGTCGTTGACTAACCGTGGTCTTTGAGTTTGAAACTAGTGAGTTTGTTTTCCTACACAATTTGGAAATTTTGTAAATATATTAACAAGTTTTATAAATTCAATTGGTTGGATCGTCGTCGGTCTCGTGTCTATTTTATTAGTGCCGCTGTAATGTTTGTCTTTACGCATATATTATTAGGAGCTACAAAAAAACATTAATTATAGGCACAATCTTTCCCGGTGATATATTGTATAACAGAAATACTTCATATATATATATATATATATATATATGTATGTATGTATATGAAGTATTTTATATACATTCTTTGTAAAGACGAAGAAGAAACAGGAAAAGCCTCCGTTTCGTGTAGAAGTTCCGGAGTCAAGAATACGGCGTCGTCTTAACTTGAATTCTGGGGCAGCTGGATTTCGTTCATATATTCATTATAATATTTGTATCTGCAGTCTTTCTTGGTGAAGCCTTTAATAATTGTAGAAACAAGGAAACCTCGGTTTCTGGCAGAGGGTTCTCGTGGGGGAGAACCGGCGTCGTTTTAGATTTGTCATTAAATGAGTTCAGGGGCCAATCCGTCATTTGTCATCTGACTGGATTTTTGTTATTTTATTATTATTTTTGAGTTTATTTTCATTGTATACTCTCTCGACAAACCTTGCAACAAAAGATATATACGCATATATGTTTTTGTATACCATAAAGTTTTGGAACGTGTATATAAATTTTTTATGTTTCTTTTAATTGAACATAAAGAAAAAAATATTTATAAGAAAAACATAAAAGAAAGATATTCAAAAGAAAAAGGTTTAATAAAAAACATTTTTAATATGAAATCAAACCCCAATATAATCCAAATAAAACAAATCGTGAAATCTTAATCATTCAAATATAAATATAATCAAAATCTGAAATATCTAAAACTTAGAAAAAAATATATCTAAAACAAGAAAAAGAAGTCGATATTAATTTAATCTTTTTTTTTTAATGTTTCGGACAACTTCTTTGTTGCTTGGAATGATTATCTATTATTTTTAAAAAGCAAACATAGACGAATGAGATTAAAAAGCTAAATTACTGTTAATTCCATTAGGTGGATTTTCGGTTCATAGAAATAATAAGTTCAAAGTTCACCTAATAATAATAATAATAATAATAATAATAATAATAATAATAATAATAATAATAATAATTGCCACTACAACTCCCCACATTGTGTCACATATGTTTGCCAGCTTAGGTAATGATGAACATTATTTATCATTACGTTTCTTTTTCCCTGCCTTTGTTTGCATTTCTTTAACCCTAAGGTAGGTCGTCTTTTGAGATATTATTATTATTATTTTCATTCCGTTATTTACCGAGTTTTGTATTGCTACTGTTCTTATTTTAGTACGTTTCACATTAGATTTTTACTGTAAATGTTTGTTTTAAAATTTTATTGTAAGTTTATCGATGATTTTGTTTAATTTACTCGTTTATATTTTAAAATTTGTCGTTTCTAAATTAAATATATTTCAGTTCGGTTTTATATGCCGAACTAAAATATCCATGTACACCGCAGAACTTTTGTTTTTTTTCAATAAAAAAAAACAAATACTATAATATGGTAAAAACAAGAGAATCAAGGATCCAGCATTATAAATTTCCTCTTAAATGCTCAAAGAATAATAAATATAATTGCATTTAATAATTCTATAAAAAAACGAAGAGGAACAGATTTTAATTAACACTCTAATTGTGTTTAACATTCTTTTAAAAATAAGATTAACAAAGTTAACCAACTCTCTAATCCTATTTAACATTTTCTAAGAAAAAAACGAAGATTAACAAAATTTAACTAACTGTTGATTTCTCATCCGCAGGTCCAAGGCCGATCCATGAAATGTGATTAGAGGCCCACAAGAATATAACTTATCGTCTCCTCGCTCCAACCCTAACTACAAAAAGCCTTAGACTAAGGATATTCTCAATCATCTCCCAACTTCCTCACAAGTCCAACCTCATACACTATTCATAAGCAAATTTACCCGATTTTCGGATATCTGACCACAACCCTCAAGTTTAATACCCTGAAAATAAAAGCGTATTTATGATGCCGGGACTAGTTCGGATTCAGTATGACAAGTTCAATTTCGGGTTGATCGATGTTCAGATAGACGGATTACTACGGGTGCCCGAAAGGATACACATGTCGATGACGAGCTTCAAGGCTCGTACGTTAAGATTATGGATCATCATCATGGCTGCGACAAATCAGTCCAAGAATGTTATAATAAGAGACATGAAAAGGAAGAATCAAGCTGACCAAATTCCATCCAACTCCTTACCATCATCACGAAGACAATAGCTATTTGTATAACCTCACTCCAAATCAATCTATACAAACCCATATCAAACCGCTAAACCGAATAAAACCGGTTCCCATTCTCTAATTCCCACTAATTTCCCAAGTGTGTGTATCTTCTTTTGTTTGTTTTTTGTTGTGCGAATCTTTTATTTTCCAAAATAGGTAAAATTTTATATTTTAAGCACGTTCAGTCGTTAGTCACATTAACAAATAAGGTAAATAAACGTGGGTTGCTAGACTCTTTGGTCCCACTTCACCAATTATTCCCGAACATATATTTCAAACACGTGATATTTAGAAAAGCGATCCGAAATTCAAACAAAGAATCGTATCCACCAAAAAAAATTATTATAATATATCAAACCACAAATCTTCTTTTTTTTGATAATATGTGATTTGCCAAGAGTAGGGTTCGAATTTGGGTGAAACACTCTTTGCGCATACTCATTTACCAGTTGAGCCAACCACCCTTGGCTCAAACCACAAATCTTATTCATGAATAACATATTTTGATAGTTTTATTTTATTTTTTCAACTTTTGTATTGATTTAACTTTTCTTCTGCTTTCCGTAAAAATAAGAAATCATGTCCCTATTCAAAAACTTGAGAAAAAAAAAATCTCAAATAACTAAATTTGCATGGCGTCGTTTTTATTTTGTGGACATATTTTTTTTGTCATCGTCTTTGAATGACAAATCGCATTTTTTCCATTTTTGGATTTATCTAATTGATTGTTGATTTCTCCACTCGGGACCGGTAAAGGGCCCCGAACGAATCTGCCTTATCGTTTCCTCGCTTCAAACCAACCACAAAAAACCCTAGCCATAATATATTTTCAAACATCTCTATCTTCATCACAAGTTCATACCCTAAATTTGCCCGGTTTTCGGATATCTGACCTGAACCGTAAGTCGGGTATCCGAAAATGGAGCACTTGCATTTATGTCGGGTTTAGTTCGGATTTAGTATGATGGATAACTTGAGATAGATGGATGGCGCAGGGGTGCCGAGAAGTACGAAAATAACTTTAGGTCTCAATAGTGAATATTACTAAGTTTTTTTTCCCACGTCGCATATATATAGTTTCGTTTTGTACACAATATTCACGTGATAAAAATAGAAACTGAAACTTCTGTTGGTATGAATCTTCAAATCACCTTTTTCCTGGTTTGATCTTTACATATTTTAAGTTTTCATGGCCCGAGAGATCGTATTTAATCACGTGTCCGCACCAACCAGATGATTTTTTTTATATATTTATTATGTTCCAACCAGATGATTTAAGCACGTGCGGTAAAAAAAACCCTCATGGAGACAAACCGGGTCACGGAGCAAACTTCGTTCGTCGTTGTGGCGTTCAGATACGCATGTGTAAGACACGTTAGAAACTTAGAATGATATCACATCCAGACGCAATCTTTGTCTCCAAGGATTATAATGGTCTGTCACATTTAAATCACACAATACACACACACACACACACACACACACACATATATATATATATATATATATATATATATATAGCACATTGCATTGACTAAAAGTCGACACTTTCTTTGTAGTATCATCCTAAGTTTCTAACGCGTGTATGAACAAGAAGCCCTCTGAAAACTGATAAAATTTTCAATAAAATAATAAATCTGAAAACAAACCAGGCCAATTTCAAATATGTTTTAAATATAAGAATTTTTTTTTTAAAAATGGTTACCCAAATAAACAAAAATCAATATATTTTTTTTAAAAATCAAACAAATATGATTTTACAACGTAAAAAGACGTATCCAACCATAAGTAAAATCCATTTATAAAGGCGAAACGAGAGGTGGGGTTGGGGAGTAGCCCAACGCAAAAAAGATTTAAAAACTTCACCTAGATCTGTCCTTTTACTGGAATTCATTCAGTGTGCTATTATTATATATATCTGTCAAAATATTTTTTCCAAACATAAAAATATCATGGTGTGAATTCGAAGAGATGTTCACACAGACCACACCGGAGGATCAGGACACGTTCATGGGACCATGTTAATGCATATCCATGGAGAGAGAGACAGAGACTTAAATTAGATTGATGGGATAGTCCTCCCGGTGATTTCACAGAGCTCGTCAAATGTGAACACAGTTAATTTTTACTTGACTTCGGCACGTCAACCCTAATTGCCCGTACCAAAGTTAATTCCACTGTTTCCTTTCTTAATAATTTCTTACTATTATCGTAATATTTTTCCCATTTTCTAACAACAGTGGTAAAAGTTTTTCACATTTTAAGATACCTAAGAACAACACCATTGGCTGATGTGTCATATTCAAATAAGATAATAACGTACGCATACCTCTATTTTTCGCATGGATTATGCCGCCACTATGATTAATTAAAGTTTTAGATTAATCATTTAATCATAGAAATTTTTATACACACCATAGTTATAGAGATAAATTCAGATTACGGAAATAAGATAGTTAAAACATAAATTTCTGAATATATAGAATATGAAGTATAATTCAAGAGTAATAATGTCTGACAATTTTAAAAGACTGAGAACGCGGATCATACATTTGAACATATTTAATACGAAAAATACAAGAAAATATTTTACTGATATTTTCACTAACCACATACAAACAAATTGATATATATTTTTTTAAAATAAAATCAAAATAGGAATGGGTATATATGTCCACATACTCTCACTCGCCTCTCCTTCGTTGCCAAGCAAGTGAAAGAACAACAGAGCCTCGGATAATTCCGGAATAGGAAAAGAAAAAAGAAAAAAAATATATATCTGTTTTCTCCCTTTGTTCCCTGAGCGGACACGTGGCTATCTCAGACTGGTTCAAGTCGCCGGAAAAAATGGGGAGGATGACGTGGTTTGACGTCGACGGCACGAAGAAAGGAGAATGGACGGCGGAGGAAGACCAGAAACTTGTCGCTTACATCAATGAACATGGAATCGGAGATTGGCGTTCACTCCCCCGCAAAGCTGGTATATACACATACCTATACTTACACGTGTATACGTACATGCATGGATGGATGTATCTGCACGTGTGCTTATAGGGCTTCATTAAGCACTTTTTCCCCCGAAAGTATAGATTAAAAAAAGTTTTTTTTTTGTTAAGATCTTCAAAGATGTGGAAAGAGCTGTAGATTAAGATGGCTTAATTACCTTAGACCTGGGCTTAAGAGAGGCAAGTTCAGTGCTGATGAAGAAGAAACCATAATCCAGCTTCATGCAGTTCTTGGAAACAGGTAAGTATTTACATAATTAGTGAATGATGTACTAATTTTCATGCTTATATATAGATATATATATGTTTATCATTAATGTATATATACACAATAAATATTCGAAATGATTGATTTAAAAAAAAAAACAGGTGGGCGGCCATAGCCAAGCATATGCAGAATAGAACAGACAACGACATCAAGAATCATTGGAACTCAAGTCTGAAAAAGAGACTCGCACGAAACGGAATCGACCCAATGACCCACGAGCCCTTCACCGTCGCCGGAGAAACACCATCCTCTTCCTCTTCCCCTCCGGCTACGGCGACGGCATCTTCTTCCTCCTCCGGCTCTGCTCGGATTCTGAACAAACTCGCCGCCGGGATGAGACGACAAGCTCTCGATCTCAAGACTATTTTGTCTCCGACAACGACGACGATGACGTGTCACGATGTCAACGGAGACGAAGAAAAAGAAGAACGTGAGAAGAGGAATGACGAGACTGATGTTCCGATGTGGGACAGAGATGACGTCGACGTAACTTGTTTCATGCAGAACTCGAGTTTTGAGGATGAAACGACCACGTTTAATGGGTTCACTACTGGAACTACAACGACGTCGTTTGATTGGTGTGACTCGCTCATGTATTTTGACTCGTCAAATTCCTCCTGCTTCTACAATTCTGAACTGTACGATATCATTGATGAAATTGACCGGTTTATTTGATATGATCGGATTTTTGAACGCCATAATCTGGAAATAATTTAAAATTTAATTTAATCTAGATTAGGGTATCTAAAATTTGAATATTTACTAAGGAAAACAGATTTGGTAAAATGTGACATTTTCCTACACGAACTTTTAATTTAACAAAAAACTACACCAAATTATCAAATATGTCAAATTGATACACGAACTACCCAATTTAACTGCAATTTCCTACACATAAAATTTTTTTAACACGTCCCATGTCAAATTTTAAAAAATCCAAAAAAGCAAAAAAAAATAAAACAAATTAAAAATTTTAAATTTTTTTTTATTAAAAAAATACATATATATAAATATATTTTTATATCTATATACAAATATAAATATATATATTCCTGTATAAATATATCTATATATATACAAAATAAAAAATATACACATATATATACAAATATCTATACAAATATATATACATATACATACAAACAAATATATTTATATATATATACATACACATATAAATATATATATATATATATATATACATACAAAATAAAAAAAATACATATATATACATATATAATCATATCTAAATACAAATACAAATATAAACATAAATACTCCTATGTATATATATATGTATATATATACAAAATAAAAATATACACGTATATATATATATAGGAGTATATATGTTTATATTTATATTTGTATATAGATACGAATATATATGTATATATATGTATATGTTTATATTTTTTATACATATATATATATATACATGTATATATATGTTTATATTTATATAAATATAATTACTCTTATATATATATATGTATATATATGTATATATATGTATTTTTTTATTTTGTATATATATATATGTATGTATATATATACGTGTATATATATTTATATATATACATATGTATATATATAAATATATTTGTTTGTATATATATGTATATATATATTTGTATAGATATTTGTATATATATGCGTATATTTTTTATTTTATATATATATAGATACATTTTTATATGATAGTATATACATTTATATTTATATATAGATAAGAATATATATGTATTTTTTCGAATTTGTTTTTGAAATCTAACATCTGTCATGGGACACACCACATCAACTGTTAACAAACACATAATACCGTTATCAGATTGACTAAAAAATTCCATTTAAATTGAGTAGTTTATATATCAATTTGGTATATTTGATAATTTGATGTAGATTTTTTCAAATTAAAAGTGTATAGAAAAATAACACATTTCACAAAATCTGTATAGAAAAATGTCATTTTCCCTATTTTTACTGTATCTACGAAATCTAACAGACCCGGCTCGGGCCGTAGGTATCGCCAAAGGACACTTGTTTTACAACAATGCAATCCTCATTACCAACAAAATGTAACACCACATTTAAAATTCTCTAACAAAGGTCCAAAAACATAAAAACTATAATCACAACTCTGATTCGGGATGATTTCAACTATCTAATAGGCCTTCATATACAATGAAGAATGATATGATTTATTACATGGGATGCTCTTGGAGCCCGAATTCAAAGATTTAGGCTTTACTACAAGAAGCACCCTTCATATCTCCGTTCTTACTTGCAATCATCAGGCCGCCGACAATCAATCATTCAGACAACACATGACAAAAAAGCACAAAAAGAGGAGGAAACCCAACAATGGTTTCAGCAGCTTTGCCTCAGAGGTAGTGACAATTTCGAGGTATTCATCATAACAACGAATGTCTGAATGAAAATTACGAAGTCTGCATCATCGGCAAACCAAAACCCAACAATCAGAAATTGAAAATCTTGGATCGAAATGATAAAAGTTTGAAGCTTTTGTGCATCAGAGAGATTCCCATTTTAGACAACAAGTCATCAATCGCCGAAGTGGAGAGATTCTGATGTCCCTGTCTGTTTCATCGTCACTTGCACTCACGGATGAACACCGAACAACACGAAACAGAGAAGCTAGCAAATAACCAAACAGATTTCTTGATTCAACACAGAAATTACACGAGGAGCTAGTGGGTTTAAACAGAAACCACGAATGAGGGTAATGAAGAAAATCATGAAAGAAGACAGGGAAAACTGAATCGGATTAAATCGGAAAACTCCAACGCCTCAGATTTGAATTCTTTTCACAGAGATTGAACTCTCAAAGTATATTTAACACCATCACAGGCATCAAACCGTTCAAACCCTGAAAACAGAGGGAACAAGGAACACAAAAGCAAATTGAGAAGATCGAGGGCCTCGAGGAAGATCAAAATCCGATCTTTGGGTAGCCCTTGAAGGATAAAAGCGGGGAGCACTGAAGCAGGATTAGGGTTTTCAAGAATTGGCAACGACTGCGTCTGCTGTTGTTTAAATAGAAGAACAGAAGGGGTGAAATTAGGGCAAAGGGATACGGAAGACTCTATATGGGCTGGTGTCTTGGGCCCAATAGCAGCAGACTCGTTGTTTAAAAATATTAAATAATATATTTAAATGCAAAAATCTAATAATACCTTATTTAATTTTAAAACCTTATGTTATATAGACAAAATATTTAGACTGATAAATTAAGACTATTTAAAATATTCTCAATGAAAAATGCCCGTTAATCTCAATAAAAAAAACAAGGCTTAATCTCTCCCTCTTTCTCTCTCTACACTGAACACACATTTTCCGATGGTCGACGTCTTGAGCTACACAGCGAAATCGAAGGTTGTCCTTTCGTGAGCTTGTGTGAGCTCTCTCTCTCTCTCTCCCACCATTAGTCTCCTTCGTCCTCGTCCTCTTTCTTTCGATTTTTTTCTTCTTCTTCTCCTAGAATCATGTTGATTCATGTTTCCTCCGTGATTTCCTCTTCTTGGTATCTTTTCTTTCCTGTTCGACGCAAAGATCACGAGGTCTCTGTTTCTGTTCTTTTCCTCGTCTTGTTGTCTGAAAGAGTTCGACTTCGAATTCTTCAAGTGATTTATTTGCTCTCTTCCAATCTTCAAGGAGGGGTTTTTCTTGATGGGTTGAACCATTTTCACGTTGTACCAAATCCGGCGAGTTCGATTTTGCGTGACCTTTTTTGTGGTTTGTCGCTTGGAACTAAAAACCCATTCAAGAAGTCAAATCCTTTGCTCATTGAAGTGAGTACACGAATGATTTGGTTGCAAGATCAGATTTTTTCTGGGAAATTTGTCAGATTTAATGGGTTTTCTTTTGTTCTGTCGTTTTTTCTTTCCATTATGGAATTTGCAGGATGGGAAGAGTTAAGCTGAAGATCAAACGGCTTGAGAGCACAAGCAACAGACAAGTTACATACTCGAAGAGAAGAAGTGGGATACTGAAAAAAGCAAAGGAATTGTCAATTTTGTGTGACATTGATATAGTGCTTCTTATGTTTTCTCCCACAGGAAAGCCTACGCTTTTCCATGGCGAACACAGGTAATATCCCGATTGACCACTCACTTTGGTATGCGGTAATAATACTAATTGAGGGTGTTGGTTGTTAATTTGTGTATGATCCTTGAAATGTGTGTTTCAATGATGCTTATGAGCTTCATCTGGTTCTTGAGGAAGTTCAAAGAGTTGGTCTTTTACATTGTTGATTTGTTGTGGAAAACCAACAAAGCACGTTGATATCTGCATTAGGATGCATTGTGGTAGAAATCTTTTGTTTCTTGAATGTGATAATGTAGCAGAAAACCACATCGATTTGTGGTATAAAACCGATAATGTATGTTAATATCTGTGGTTTGGATGCATCCCCTTTGATGCTAGTTTTGTTAAAATGGATTTTATTGAAGACATAATGATGAGCTATTCTCACATTTTACATTGTCTGCAATTGAATGATTTAATATGGTGTGTTCTTGCAGCGGCATTGAAGATGTCATCGCCAAGTTTTCCCAGTTAACTCCCCAAGAAAGGACGAAAAGGTTTATTATGAAACACAGATTGTTCTCTTGTACATAGGTTGTTTCTGTCGATGTCATAGTGTCATGAAACTAAGATGTTTTCCTTTTTGAATGTAACAGGAAACTGGAGAGCCTTGAAGTAAATTCACTGGATTTGTTCCTATCTGTCTCTTAAATTTTGTAGTTTGGAGAAATTCTGAGCTGAAACATTTTACTGTGGTGTCTTCTACCTATAGGCACTGAAGAAGACTTTTAAGAAGTTGGACCATGATGTGAATATAAACGAGTTTTTAGGAGCGAGGTATTTGATCTACATTGTCCGACGTTCATACATATATACGTATACATCATTTTCAGCTTCGAAATATCTGAAATCTTGCCCCTGTTTCGTCTTGCAGGAATAAAACTGCCGAGGTATGGATCGATCAAGACATGGTTATTTCTTGTCCTGACCCGAGATTGTACTTGCCCGATTATTGTTTAAGCCTCTTAACTTACCATATGCCAGGTTTTGAGTAATCAAGTAGCGGTTTTACAGGCTCAAATTACCGAGATACATAGGAGACTAAGGTGCACTCTTGGAGCTCTTTTTCTTTTAAGTAGTGATTTTATCTTCAATGTTTTATTTTGGTTTCATCCCTGAAAAAAAAAAATGTATATTATCGCCTTATCTTTTTATAACGTTTCATGGTGAAACTGAAAACATTATATAGTCTTTTGCTGTTGGTTGGATTAGAATTGATCAATAGAGAAAGCATGCTCTGTCCCGTTCCGTTTCTATGTTATAATGGCAAATCCATTGTGCAATTATAATTTCAATGATCTATACAAGAGTGGCTTGGATCTGCATTGTTTGCTGGTTATTTCTAAAGCTAAAGGAGCTATTTTTATTTTCAGCTGTTGGGGGAATATCGATAGAATTGAAAACGTAGAGCACCTCGGGCAGTTGGAAGAATCGTTGAGGAATTCCGTCGAGAAGATTCAGATTCACAGGGTATGTAATGTCCCTTTAACTTATCACCGATCACGAAATTTCGCAAGTTAGGTGTCCAATTCAGTCTCTTGGGAGCATATGTATGTGGCAATATCATTGTTTGAATACGTATACAAATACATGTAGAGTATATATAGAAGCTGTTCTTGAAGGTAAGAGAGATCATGTTACCATGGTGACTTCATTTCGCAGGAAAATTCCAGAAAGAACCAACTTATACCGGTAGGATGCACAAGCCAGGTTATAACCCTTCTCTTTCTCTCTCTCTCCCCCTTTCTCTCCCTCTCTGTTCTTGAACTGATCAAGTCTTCTTATGCAGTTTCACTGTGGAATATCGTTGCCATTGGCAATGGGAGGAGTGCAAGAAGCTCATTCGTTATCTTGGCTTCATGACGACGATAACCAACAGATCATCATACCGGGCGATCCAAGTTTTCTGCTGCATCGGTGAGTCATACTGCTACTTCACTCTGAATTCTTGACTATATATTCCACTGATTTCACATTTATGATGAACAGAGACATGAGGAGTACATCAACTGTTCCTTCACTTGCGGTCTACTCGGGTTTCTTTGAGCATGGAAAGCCAGAAGATCAGATCTGCAACCCGGGACAGTTTGACAACTTAGGACCCGAACCCAGTACCTTGAACGAGTTAAACAGAAACGGGTGCTTGAGTTTACAATTCGGGGAGGAATATTCATATGGTAATCCATTTGGTAGTATGAGCATGCAAGATGATGACAAGAAGTTGGATCAAGGGATCGAGTTAAACTTGCAACAAGATCCTTCGATGTATCAATCTAATACCAGTTTCCAGTTTCCTCATCAGCCCATGGGAACCAGTGATCATCATCATCATAATACATGGTTCCCAGATTCTGCCTGTTGTAGCACTTCAGGGTTTGGCCAGACTTCTTACAACCAGGTCAGAATTCAATTATTACAAAACTACTACTTAAATATCTTGTCTTGTTCTTGAAAACTAGTTCATCATGTTCTTGATCTACTCTTTAAAAAAAAAAAAAACAACTCGGGTCGTTGGTTTAAACACGAGTTTTCGCGCTTAAACCCGAAACATGTAAGGAAGAAGAAAATGGTGAAGTGATGATCCTTACATGTTTTGGGAATTGCAGCAAAGGAATTAACTCAGGTTTGGGAACTGGTAACTTCTTCAGTGGATGCTGAGGCTTTTGCCTTAACAAAGAGTAGGTTCTGAGTATGCATGTTTGTACATTACAGGATATACTGTATGCCCAGTGTATATGTTAGAATGCACATGTATGTATGTATGTACGTATGTACGTATGTATACAACAGAAGGGTTTCTTCTAGGAACATTGTGCATACAAGAATGTTGGTGTTAGAGAATGTAATATAAATGTTACATTGGTTCAATTATAAAAATTTCGGTGTAATGTTAGGGGGAAAACTCCTGCTTGATTTCATTCCCAATCCTTAATTTTCTCAGTATTTTTCATTCGAATATGCTTGTTTTGGTTAATTAAATTAAATGAGAATAAATTCTTTAGATATAACAAAATTTGGTTATAACTGGTAAAAAAGTAAAAGATTTTTCTTGATAAATCATAAAAATTAGAGTAATTAAAAAATTAGAGTAATTTCGTGGATTTCAAAAAATGATAATGCCAATTTCACATTTGTAAATAATTAGTAGAAAATTACTTGAAATAAATACGCCAATAGTGCTGTATACATCACTTGAAACAAAATAGTTATCAAGCTTTTTGCATACGAGACAATTCATTTTGCATGTTTTTTGTGTATGTATTCGTATATATCTTTGTTTTAAAATTGTTAAATAAAACTTCATATATCTTTAATGTTGTTTATGTACCTAAATTTCTACGATTTTTTACTAATGATCCTAAATAAGTAAAGATTGAATAAACGAATTATATTATATATATATATATATAGGATAAAGTTATAACCAGCATTTTTAAAGATACTACCACAAAATTATCACGAAAGAAATATGAAAATTTGCAGATTTTTTCCATTGGAAATATCACAAAACGATAAGTTAACAGATATCCTACGTGGCCGAATCTCAGCCAATTGCTCCATGCAAATGGCATGCATGGGCGCCCCAATGTTCCAAAACCAGAAAAACATTTATCCTCACGTTATCCAAATCCAATCTTCATCGTCCATTTTCTCAATCCAACGGTCAAACGCATCCGAAAATCTCTTACCGTATTCTCTCCCACCAAAAATAATATAAAAAATAAATAATAAATTCAATAAACTGAAGAAGAAGAACACATACCCAGACCAGACACTCTCTCTCAACTCTTCAGTTGCCGGCGAGAAATGGCTTCTCTCTCTCTCAAGTCCTTCACCGGACACCGGCAATCCACGGCGGAGCAACTGAATTTCATCTACCAAGCTCCGCCGCAGCGTGCCAATTTTCGGCGACGACGGAGCTCTCTCCGAATAACCGCCGCCAGATCTAGCCCCAAGCTCGCCGACCGGAGACTCCGGGTCGCTGTCATCGGAGGAGGTCCTGCCGGAGGATCCGCCGCTGAAACGCTTGCCAAGGGAGGAATCGAGACGGTGCTCATTGAGCGGAAGCTCGACAACTGCAAGCCCTGCGGCGGCGCTATCCCGCTCTGCATGGTCGGAGAGTTCAATCTCCCGCTCGATATCATCGATCGGAAGGTGACGAAGATGAAGATGATATCGCCGTCGAACATCGCCGTCGATATCGGTCAGACGCTGAAGGAGCATGAGTATATTGGTATGGTGAGGAGAGAGGTTCTAGATTCGTTCCTGAGGGAGCGAGCAGAGAAGAGTGGAGCTACTGTCATCAATGGCTTGTTCCTGAAGATGGATCTACCGGAAAATTGGGATTCGCCGTACGTTTTGCATTACACCGAGTATGACGGAAGAACAGGAGCCACAGGGCAGAAGAAGACGATGGAGGTTGACGCCGTTATTGGGGCTGACGGAGCGAATTCTAGGGTTGCTAAATCCATCAATGCCGGCGACTACGAGTACGCCATCGCGTTTCAGGTCGATTTTCTTCCTCATGATCTCCGAAATTTTGATTTGAATGCATTGAATTAGGTGAATTTATCTGCATAGTGTAACAACTCCTCATGAACAATGTTAGCTTTGGTAGAGATTATATAAGGGAACGAGTTCAAATTCAAACAGTATTCGCTGAAACCTGGAATTTGGGTCAGGAATCTGGAATTCGAAATGTCGGTTTGGCGCATGAAGTGGTGAAATTTCTTGCAGGAAAGAATCAAAATCCCAGATGAGAAAATGACTTACTATGAGAATCTTGCTGAGATGTACGTGGGAGACGACGTTTCGCCGGATTTCTATGGATGGGTCTTTCCGAAATGCGACCATGTTGCCGTCGGAACTGGAACTGTTACTCACAAAGGCGATATCAAGCAATTCCAACTCGCTACCCGGAACAGGGCAAGAGACAAGATTCTGGGAGGCAAGATCATCCGAGTCGAGGCTCACCCAATTCCCGAGCACCCTCGCCCTCGTAGAGCCTCCCAACGAGTGGCCCTCGTGGGCGATGCAGCCGGATATGTGACAAAATGCTCTGGCGAAGGGATCTATTTTGCGGCCAAGAGTGGGAGAATGTGTGCTGATGCCATTGTCGAATGCTCTCAGAACGGTATGCACAAAGCTTCTCCGAATTTTTCGGAACAGAATCTGGTTAAAGATAGAAACTTTGAGATATATATGATTCACAATCTGGTTAAAGATAGAAACTTTGAGATATATATGATTCACATTTTACTCTAACCTTTTGCCTCTTGATAGTTCGCGACAATCTTGAACTCTAATCTAAGATAAAGCATACTAAACGTTCATATCTCTTCACAGAGAAAATTTGCTTCGATAACTCCGAGCTGTAACATCTGTTATCGTAATCCGCAACAGGGAAGAAGATGATCGATGAGGGAGACTTGAGGAAATACCTGGAGAAATGGGACAAGACATACTGGCCGACGTACAAGGTTCTGGACGTGCTGCAGAAAGTGTTCTACAGGTCCAACCCAGCTAGAGAAGCGTTCGTCGAGATGTGTGGGGACGAGTACGTTCAGAAAATGACGTTCGATAGCTATTTATACAAACGGGTCGTGCCCGGAAATCCGTTGGAGGATCTGAAACTGGCTGTGAACACAATCGGAAGCTTGGTTAGGGCTAATGCTCTGAGGAGGGAGATTGAGAAACTGAATGTTTGAACAACTGAGAGAAGGGAGTTTTAAGTTCTTTCTTCTCCCCCTTTTTTTATATCACTTTCTTTTTTGTTTAAATGACTCTTTTTTCTTTCTTTGTAAGCTTCTTGGATTTGTACTGTGTTTAGGTAAAACTGTAATATCCTAAACGTTGGTGTTTATGTACCATATTAGTACTAATATTATGTCTCTTGACAGTTATATGTATGTATGTAAATGTTTAAAAAGTGCGATACGTGAAATAAAACTTTAAATATTTGCATTAGCCAAGTATTTTTAACTAAAGAAATGGCAGTAAGTTTTACTCCTTATTGTTGTGTCTGAGAAAACTCTTAGAAGACAAAGAGGCTGAGGCTTTGAAACTGTTTCTGCTCTTACAACTACTATGCCTTGGAACAGGAACTTTCTCAAGAAGAGACAAGACCTCCGCCATTGATGGTCGGACCTTAGCTTCTCCGATGCACTGTAACGCCAAGAACGACACCATGAATGCGCCTTTCTGTGGGTACTGACCCACGAGCTTCGTGTCCATTATCCTGAACACTTTCCTCTTGTCCCTAAGGTACGGTTTCGCCCATTCCACGAGGTTTTCTTCTTCTCGGGATTTGGTTCTGTCTATGACTCTTCTCCCCGTGAGGAGCTCTAGCAAAACTACTCCGAAGCTGTAGACATCGCACTTGGTCGTTAGATGACCTGATCAGACATGTGAAAACACCTTGTATCTGTCACGTGTTTCGAAAAATTCGTATTCCAGATTGTCGAGTGTATTGAACCAAACCCAAAATTAATATGTGATCCAACTTTCAGAAAGTTTTTACAATTTATCATAACTTACAGACCTGTTGCAAGGTATTCAGGAGCTGCATAACCTTGAGTGCCAATGACTTCGGTGGTGACATGTGAATTGTCACCGCTAGGACCTTCTTTGGCTAATCCGAAATCCGAAAGCTTCGGATTAAATTCCTGTGATCAACCACATGTAAAATTTTTTAAAAGGGTATCGAAAAGGAAACTAAAAGATTGGTACTTTGAGTGACACATACCGAATCAAGAAGGATATTCGATGCCTTCAAGTCCCTATAAATGACGTGGTCCTTAGCTTCGTGCAAGAAACGTAGACCGCGAGCTGCACCAATAGCTACTTTCATACGCAACGTCCACGAAAGGGCATGACCCTCTACCCGATTTAACATAGGCTATGTCAGAGTTTCAAGTCGGAAAATAAGGTATATGGGAAATGCACATAAGTTTCTGTCCAACATTCTTTCTTACTTGCAAACAGATGATTCTCCAAGCTGCCATTAGGCATGTACTCATACACCAAAAGACGGTTTTCGCCTTCCCAGGAGTAACCTATCAGTTTTACCAGACTCGGGTGATGCAGCCGAGTGAGATAATTTACTTCTCTCTGGTGAAACAGTAAACATACAGGTAAGATTTGGTTCAAAGGGGAAAATAACCAGACGATGCGGAAAATAACCGGAAAACTTACCAGCCACTCCTTGTGACCCTGAAACCCTTCGGGTTTGAGCTTCTTCACAGCGACAGCAATTTCATTTCCAGACCCGCCAATGCAGCCCTTATAAACAAACCCGAAACCTCCTTCACCGATGAGGCTATCAGAACAGAAATTTCCGGTTGCATTCTTCAGCTCATTGAACATAAATGACTTCGAGCTCGGGTTGTACAATGTATCCTCTACATTGCTACCCGTAGTTAGAGTAACAGCTTCACTTTTAGTAGTATTGCGAGATTTTAGCCTCCAAGGAAATAAAATACTCGGGGTTTTGACAGGAGAACAAGAACCTCCTGAAAACGGTATGACATGTTAACATCAATGAGACCGATACTGGAACCAAGTTAGTACATGAACACAGTGGTTTAAGATATGGTTTTCTTCCCTTGTGATTAAGCATTAATGATGTAAACGATTCTAATGATTGTTCTATCAGTTTCCAAACCTTTCAGAACAAACAAATCCGCAACTAAGTCTATACAGAGGAACAAACCAAGACATTGCTTAGAACAGTGATCCAATCCAACATTGCTGTTTATGTTTCAGCTTGAGCTCTAAAAACAAGATTATGCAAAACACAATTTCCTTGTTTCATTTGCCCATTGTCATGTCGGGTCTGATTAATACATATTGAGATTCCAGCAGCAAAGTACTTGCACAATCAAGAAACCAACTTCTGTTTCTTTCTTTGTAAGTTAATGGCGTCGAAGATAATCCGAACCTGAGAATTTGTACTACTCTAAACCGATTTCTGAAGACTCTCCAATCAAAACTTACTTTGGATCGAAACAAACAGGGATTACGAGAAATGAGCAAGCACTGTTCGAAGAATCTTACGTGAAAATGTCTCTGAGTTCACTGGAGAGTCGTCGTTATCGCTCCCATTCGAGCAAGATTCGAAGCAATTGCCCATCCCCTAAGGTTTCTCACCGAACAAAAAAACAAAAACCCAGAAAAAAAAACCCTCGAATCGAGATCAATGGCGATGAACGGAGATGCTATATTTACCATTCCATTGCCATTTGTATTCGCCGTTGTGCTCTTCTCATTCTTCCTCCGATAGGAGAAAGAAATGAAACGAGAGCGGAAATCGAATTCGATGTGTCGAATCCAATTCAAATGACTGGAATCGTGAGAAGAGAGAGAGATTGAAATTCAGGGGAGAGTATGAGTTTCGATTTGGAGAAGCTATTTTTGGATGGAGGAGGGAGCTTCCATGGAATCGTCGGAATCGACGTCCGTCACCTGATAGCAAGGTATGGTCACGTGACATGCTCTCCCATCGACCCTTCTACTCGCTTTCGTAATAAGTGCTATTTATGTCCCCCGACTTATTTATTTATTTATTTATTATCCATGCATGGAAATATATATTTTTTTATAAAAAAAACATTGCAGTTTGGAAATAAAACTGAACATTCGGATAACAAAAAAAAAGGGCAAACTTTTGCATGAACTAAGCCCGTTTAAAAATCATGATCACAAAAAAAAAGAGTCATTTCTCTTGGATCAACGTACAATGAAAATTAACAAATTACTTTTTTATATAAATAAAGTAACAAATTATTACTGCAATAGTATATATTTACAATGATCAACGTACGATGATAACTAAGAGTTTTAAAAAAGCATTTCACTTGTGACCTGAAAAATAAAATTCATTTTAAAATCTCGTATTATCTAATAATAGAGAACCTTGCAATTCAAGTATTGTATCAAAACTTGATTTATTTGGGGTTTGAAATTCTTTTTTTTTTCCCGCGGTAAACGACAGAGGAGAGGACGAACAATAGGACAAGTTCTATGGCAATATTGTTTTAATTTAAAAAGAAGAAAGTTGTATGTTTTAGTTTTTTTTTTATAACTTGTTTATCTTTAAACTCTTCGAAATCCAGGAAAAATTTAATTTTCTAGAGAAAATATTTGACAGTTATATATATATATATATATATTATATTTGTGAATTTTTATGGGTCAAAGTAGTAAAATCTAAAAAATGGGGAAGGCCATATCTTTTTGCAGCTTTTGTGCTTCTTTTGAGTGCATAGCGTCAAATTTACCCCATACTCTCTTGCCCCCAAAGCCCCCTCCATCCCTTCTCGGTAATCCTTGCATGTAATATTATTTATTGATTGCTTCCCAAAAAAGATATTATAGTATTACTTTATTATTATAAAGTTAATTTTGACATCTTGAATATTTACCGATGAATCCGATTGTCAACAACAACGTGAATTCGATCCATGAGTCTTGTATATGTCATCCCGTAAAAAAAATCATTTTGAATATCAATTTTTACTTAAATGCGATGTGCTTATAATGTTTGATTCGAGTCTTGGAGGAGAAATCATGATCTAGCTCATTGACAGAATATATATATCTATATATATATTATATAAACATAACCGCAAACCCTAATGGGAGAGATGGAGGAAAACCATAATAACAAAAAAGAGCAATATAAGAAAAAAAAACAAAAATCACACAGATTTGAGGAAGAAAGCATAGGGAATAATTAATCATTACTTTCTCGGGTCGAAATTAAATTTAAAATAAATATAAAAAAAGCATTTATTGTTGAGTAAGTAAGCTTCTGATTAATGCAGCTTGAGCAGAGTCTGTGTTTGCGAGAAGCTCGGAGAGTCTCTCGCTTAGATCATCGACCTCTCTGTGTAAGTTCCTTATGTAGTTGCACGTCTCCTGTAACACCCTTCCCGCCGATACCTGTCCATTAAATTATCCAATTTTATAATAATCTCCAATATCATATATATATATATATGTATGTATATATATACGTACCCTTGGTTTCAAAAGCCGTAATATGTGTATAATTAATGTCATGAAAAAGACATATATCATTTTGAAACCTGGAGGAGTTAGTTAATTTTCGGCATAATCTTATTACAAGAAGTTAGTTACCTTGTCGGAACTCCTGTTCCGAAGTTCGGGGAGAAGTTGCTGCAACTTGAGTATAAGATCGTTGATTTGATCGTCTGAAATCCTCGAAGCTCCTGATTGTCTTGAACGAGATCTTCTGCTCGACATTTTTTTTTTTCTGAAATCAAGTTTTTTTTTTGGTGTAACTAGGAAATTATATATCAGAAGTATATATGATGAAGCAAACAAGTGGTTATGGTTATGGAGTTAGGGTGACACAAAGTTATGGAGAAAAGATCGTTAAGGAGAGAGAGAGAGAGAGAGAGAGAGAGAGACAGAGGGAGATTGTACGAAGTAACTGAGGGAAGTGAAGGCGATATTTAAGCAGGTTTCTCTTTCTTTAGTTTAATAAGATAATTAATAAGTTGATAATCTTAAAATATTCTTTCCGATTTTCGAAGCTCCACGGTGACCACATGTGTTATAGATCAAAGTATACAAAGGATGTAATAATCTAATAAGATAGATGTGATGTATATGATTTAAAAGATTATTAATATTGGATATAGAGAGAGAGAGACCGTAAGTGGTGACATATATACATATATATAAATATAAATATATGGACCGTAAGTAGTGATTCTATATATATGTACGCATATATATATATAAGGTGACATTCTATATATATATATATATTGGGTTGATTTTTCTTTGAGAAAAGAAATTTCAAGCTACGACAGATTTGTTGTTACGGATTACGATCGGTGGAAACGGTTTGCGATTGACGGTTGATATTGACAAATGATATATGCATTTGGCACATTCGATCATATAAATACTAAATATGGAACTACACGATGACATACTATAACGTCGGATTTACGTTGACGCCGATCGAATTCAATAATGCGAGTTTGGATACGAATTCAGATTTTGATTTTCAAACGGAACCCTGAAAATCTAATAAATATCCAAAATTTTTTATTTATTTAGAAATAGGAAACGACGGAATTCCACCCTAAAACACGTTAAATATAAATTAAATAATCGTTTTTTTTTCAGTAATAGAGGAACACAACGCCTATATTAGATGAACATCATTCACTGACAAAATGACGTAAAGATAATTAATACGTTACATAGTATTTATACTTTTTAAAAATATTTAATTAATTATACAAAATAAATTCAAACTCCAATTCCAAGAAATTACAACAAAAATATTTAAATTTTACTCCGAGTATCGAAAGTATAACCTATCCAGTCCTCGAAATGTATCTTCTCTCGTTTAGCTCCTGCCACACGTGCATTTTGAAATATTATCAATTTTGAAAAGCAAAAACATTGAATATTTAATAAAAATTCAATTGTTTACTTATTTATCCATTTTAGATATTGTTTACTTATTTATTTTATAATTCAATATTTAACACGAATAAGTAATAACTTTGGTGTAAATTATAACACTGAATAGTAACCCAAGTTTGGGTGATCTAGTGATCAGAGAACATGCAAAGTATATTCTCACTCTGGATTCAAATCCAAGTATAGGGAGAGGTATTCACATAGATTTCTTCGGTCTTCTGGGAGATATAGTCGGGTCAACGATCCGGTGAATTTCTGGATTATAAAAAAAAAAAAACTGAATAGTTGATGTACAATATTATTAACCGTAAAACATAAGTGAGATTTATCTATTCCCTAATCTCTATATTTTGAAAACATTTCTTACATTTGTAAAAATCACTGGATTTCTGATTTTATAAACTTTATATATATATATATATAAAGAAATTTTGGGCTCGAAGTTCATTATTTAGAAAAAATAAAAATCATTATCCTATACTTACAATGGAATACATGCATATGCATGATGCATGCACAAGGTGGTATGTATATCTGTTTGTAAGTTAGGAAACGTCCAAATAGAAGGGGGAGTGGGTGAGGACCCAACGCTTTGACTGGTCAAAGCTCGCCCATGTCCCTTTCTCCAGTAATTACACGTGGCATTTCGGGAGGAGTGACCATCTTTCACCGACGACAATATCTGCATGACTTTGAACTTTTTTTAACGTTGGGTTACTATAAACTTGCATGAAAATATCGTATTATATGCATATCATCTTACACGATAATAATTGAACAAATTCAAAATATTTTTTCAGAATACTGTAGAAAATTATAAAATTTATTCAAAAATATAATTTTATTCTTTCGTTGTGTAAATATTTTTAATTACATATGGAAAAAGAATTATTCATGAAAAGTGTATATCATCTTACACCGACAATCTAATTGCATGAGTTAAAATTTTGTTTGTGGAAATTGTCAGGAAAAATTATAAAACATATTCTAAAATTTATTATAGATTTAAGCTTTTGTTCCATAAAATTTATATTGCATTGAAAAAAAAATTCTAACTAGTGAAAGTATCGAAAAAAATATATATACGACAAAAACATGTACACTGTATTTGTGGGCGGAACACAATGTCTCACTTTTTAATACATTGGAGGAATACAATAGAATTACTTTTGATTCATTAGATGCAATTCGTGTGTATACATTCATCTCGTTTTTCCATAATATTAAAAGAAGTGTCCTTTTTCCTAAATATTATAGAAGATAAGAACAATGGATATATAATTAGGTCACTAAATTTTTAGTATGTGTTGTTAAGTGAATAATCAATGGTCTATATTGATGGTTATAAAAAAGTTATAAAAATACGAATATTATACATGGAATTGAAGTAATTATATATTGTGATAATATTAATATATAATACTTAAAATCTCTCAAATATCGGAATAACAGGTGGAAGGTGGTTTAACAACAGCAGTGTGAGGAATATTGAGGATGTGAAAATCGTTTAATCTAATATATAAAAAAATTGAGCATTCAAAAACTGTGATATTGAGAATCATGAAAATCGTCCAGGTATTAAAACGTAGAAATATGAAAATCGTTAATCTAATATATAGTATATATATTAAAATGTATGGAATTGTGAGGAGTATTGAGAATCATGAAAAAATTTACATTTATTTTCTATTTGATTTGAAGAATATTAGGATATCTATTGGAGTTCTTTAATTTATTCAATTGTGAAAAATAACAATAAAAATAAATTATCTTACAATTAGCTTGTAAATCGAGATATTTTTTTTTTTTTTTGAATAAAAGAAACAAAACAAAGATGTATAATTAACGATATTTCTATTATAAGATAATCAAATTATCTAGAATTAGATGTTTATCGGTGCCGTAAAATACCTGTATTTTTCCCTGATCTCAATTTAATACATGTACTTTTTTAATTACTGAATAATACCTATATAATTGGTTTTTTTCCAAATAAATCCTATACTTTTAAATTATTGGTCAAAAATACCTATCGTCAAAGAACCGCCACGTAGACAAACAGAAATCCTACGGCGGTGAAATTCTCAACCTCTCTCCTAATCATCGCGCCATGTCATCGCCACGTCAGAAATTAAATAAAAATAAAAATAAAATAAAAAATTAATTAATAATAATTAATTAATTAATTAAATAAAAATCATAAAATAAATAATAAATAGATATATATATACACATACACATATATATACATACATATATATATATACATATAAACACACACATATATATATATACCATATATAATTAAATATATATATATATACATACATATAAATATACATATATATAAATAACAAAAATATACATATACATACACATATATATATATACATATATACATATACATATACATATATATATATATACATGCATATACAACACATACACATACATATATATACATATATATACAACATATATATATATATATAAATATATGTATATACATACATTTATATATTCATATGTATGTATATATATAGCATGTATATGTATATATATTATTTATATATGTATGTGTATGTGTTGTATATGTGTGTATGTATATGTATATATGTATATATATGTATATGTATAATGTATATATATATGTGAATGTATATGTATGTATGTATATATATATGTACGTTTATATATATGTATTAATATATATATATATGTGTATGTGTATTGATATGTATGTATATATATGTATATATATATGTGGATGTGTATATTTATATACGTATGTATATGTACATGTGTATATATATATGTATGTGTATATATATATGTATATGTATATTTTTATTATTCATATATATGTATATTTATGTGTATGTACATATATATTTATATATGGTATATATATATATGTGTGTTTATATGTATGTATATATGTATATATATGTATGTATATATTTATATACGTATGTATGTATATATACATATATGTATATATATGTATATGTGTATATATATATTTATTATTTATTTTATGATTTTTATTTAATTAATTAATTATTATTATTAAGTAATTTATTTTTTATTTTATTTCTGACGTGGCGATGACATGGCACAATGATTAGGAGAGAGGTTGAGAATTTCGCCGCCACGTAGGATTTCCGTTTATCTACGTGGCGGTTATTTGACGATAGATATTTTTTTGCCAATAATTTAAAAGTATAGAATTTATTTGGAGAAAAACAATTGAGATCAGGGAAAAGTATAAGTATTTTACAGCGATTCTCCCTATGAACAAGATAAAGAATATCTAGGGGAACATAAAAGTTATACAAGATAATCAAAATAATGCATGGGAGTATATATAGGTCAACCAAGGCAATTAATCGTTCGTGGCTATAACGATTTCTTTATAGAAATTTAAATAACAATAATAACATAGAAATGCATTAAAATAAATCGAATGTGTAGACAGACAAGATCTATACGTAATTTATAATATATTTATTTTAAAATTATTTTCACGTTAATTAAATAAAATCCTCAGATGTGTTAATTGCAGTCAGCGTGCCTCTCGCGGCACATGATCTTTCTCTTCACCTCGACAGCGAAGATTAAGCTTCGTTTCACGAGTAAAAACCTTTTTTTCCCTATATCGTTCCAATTTATTTTTCAATATTAAATTGATGTTTAACAAAAAAATATATTAAATTGGTGGGTTTCAATGGATTGTATATCAGAAAATTGTTTATTGTTTTAATATTATTTTCACTTGCTTAATAATTGTTTTCATACTATTAAAAATATTAAATTGAACATGCAGTTGATTCAGTTTCTTTCAATAAAATCAAAGATTAGAAAGCCAATTTATCGATTTGATCGCTATTGAAATTAAGAACAATATTTCAGGACAATTTTCTAATATATTCTCAAATCAAATTAGAATTGTTCTTAAGTACATATACACATGCAAACGGAAAAACAACGGAAGCACCTCATAAAATAAAAATTTTAAAAAATAATAACCGAAGCTAAACCAAATAACCGGTTTAAAACCAAAGGGTGATATATATATATATTCATGGGTTCTCTAGGGTTCATATGTGTATATTCATATGATCATATCTAGGGTTCTCTCCTTGACACCGATCGACCAGACAATTTCGACGATGCATTAATGCCAAAACATGATACCGTTTTTTATAATCTATCTTAATGATGGTTATGCTCGAATTTAACATAGATTATAATATTTACATAAATGTAGAGACGTACGTTAGTTAAGAGAGATTAGCTCATATTTATATATGTAATGTGGCGATTAGTACTACGAATATTAATAGTATCTTTCAAATTGCACGTGAATTTAATTAGAACAAAAAAGCATCTTTCTCTTCTTCCAATGCGTTGACATACACATCGTTGCATCATTAAATTTGTTTTACAAAAGGAATTTGTGCACTAAAAAAATGGTTACAAGATTTTATTAGGGAAGAAAATTATATTCCACGCGCCTGTTGTGTACATATCAATGCACATATGCATAGCATACACACGAATATTGCCAAGATTAATCTTAATTATATAATTTAATCTGTAAAAATTAGTGAAAACTATTATTGATTTTATTGTAATCTTAATTATATAATTTAATTTGTAAAATTAGTGAAAAATGATATTAATATATGTATGTGCCCGTGATAAAAAAATTTAATATTTGTTTTATCTTTCATCATATTATTAATGTTTTTATAATAAAAAATTTTAGATCCACTTCTGTATATGTGGACGGATTTAAAGTATATTTCAATTTACAGGATATTATTTTTCTGTATGCAAAGAACGGATTTAAATCAAGCATTTGATTGATTTTATATGCTTTAATTGAAAAACTACAAGAGTTAGATATTAAATTTAAGCTGTTTTTAATATCGGTTCACTAACAGCAAACCGAACCAAATCACCCCATCAATTTATGAATCCAATCTAAACCAATGGTAACCGACCACATGCTCTAATACTATATATATATGTATATATTATATATATATATATTCACAAATATCATTAATTCATATATATATATATATAGAGAGAGAGGTCAAAACTATATCTATCCGAACTTCCTCGTCTTGAGGTGGTCTCATCCAAACAACACAAAGCCAAACCTTGTTGTCCATATAACATGCAAATAAAATTTAAATTACAACTTGTTACTTTAATTAACCCAAATTGCAAACTTATAATTAAATACTAATGGCGACGTCATCCACCAAAGTTTTAGGTTCTTTTGGATAAATTTTTTTTCGCAATTATTTAAGGGTAATAATATTACTTAATATAAACTTGGACATAATTTGAATAAATACGATTGGCTGTAATGAATCTGTGATTATATTTCGAGATACTTAATTTTGGTGGTCCTACTACCAATATGTGCGGTTTGCCCCCCCAATATGTATAGCATCTTAGCATACTAAGATTTTGTCGCACGTCGATTGTGACAGGCTAATAACACCCAAATTAGAAAACGGGTCGGTGAATAGTAAATTGAATTTGTTATATATAATTATAATTCTAACCATATTGCATTAGAAAAACTTCGGCTACAAGAATAAGAAACAAATTTTTAACGGAATATTCTCGTTATAGCACCAAATGATGTGGGTCAAGTCCATTAATATTACACCCAAATATAATTATAAATGGATTGGGTTAGGCTAATTACAAAGATATTTTTTTTTTTTTGGTCATGAATCCGAAAATCAGGTGTTGGAGCAATGCAGATTCGAGTGTTCTTTTAATATCCGCATTTTGGACCTACAAGCTGGGATATTGACAAGTAACAGATAAATTACAAAAATACCTTTCAATTTATCCATATTTATGGATATATGGATGTATATATATTATGTATGAGTGTACATATAATTCTCTTGCTGATTGTAAATCACCAAAAAAAAAAGAAGGAAAGGATGATATTCCACGTGGGAGAGGTGCTCTGCTTTTAAAAAAGGGCATAAAAGGCAAGAGAGTATTAAGATAATTACACAAATAACCTTCAAAGACGGCATTTGTTTATACATGAACAGAAACTCCTTGAAGAAGTTCACATAAAACAGGAACACTTCTGACAAACAACATCAAAAAGACATTGTTAAGATCTGTTTCTCTGCACACACATTTTCTTACAGATTTCTAAGATTGAGATTATTCACTCTCTCAGTATCCAGAACCGTCATTAAACACCGTGTAATCGTCGTTTCTCCTGTGTTTATCGGCCTGCACAACACGGGGGAAAGCTCGATAAGAAGAGTATATCCGGTTTAGTCCAGATTAGTTCGGGTTAAGCTTGGTTTACATAGCATAAATTTCTGTAATTGATCAGAAGAAATTTCTCCATTTCCATTTCCGAATTCTCTCTAAAATTCAAAACTCTATCTATTACCCGAGAATCCCATTTTTATGCCCCCCCTGCATCGCTTTATATCCCGGGTTTGATCAAATTCAACTAGGAAACTTAACGCGAGGATTGACAGAGGATTCGAGAAACAATCACAACCCCGGCTAAAAGGCAGGCAGATAGTACGTCTTTGATATGCTTCTATGCCTTGGTCTGATCAAATTTCGCAAAGGAAAACTTACGTAAAGAGACACATACCCGGCTTATAAGCTTCTGGAAGGCTTCTGGTCCATTTTCCTCGATGTATTTCTCAGCGGCTGTTAAGACATCATCCCGCTTTCTGAAAATGTCCATCTTCTTCGGGACATACCATATATTGATGGTCTGAGGGTTAATGAACAAAGGTCTCACATAATGCTCGTAAACGTAAGCAGCACCGCTGAAGTAGGGGATTACGAGCCAACATGTCAATATCAGTTTCGTGTATGACCAGATGGGTATCCTGAAATAACACACCAAACCCGTAATGCAAGTGTTTAACATAGAACTGTTAAGGCCAAGGCTCGATAAGCGAGTGAATGTGATACTAAGGAACTACAATAAAGTAGTTTATCCCGTTTTAGGATAAAGCGAGTAAAGAAGACTAAAAGAAACAAGTATTCGAAAGTTTAATGAAAGAAGTATCAAAAGTTTAAAACTTTTACTGATCGGAAACCGAAAAAACAAAGACCAATGAGACATCGAACAGATACTCGAAAGAGCGTAGAGGTGTAGCAAACTCATATTTGCTTGATTCTACCGGCTAACAGTTTAAAAACAAAGTGTAGGATAAGGAATGAAATAAGAGTTTTACCATTCGATGACTTTGGAGAAAGTGAGCTCGAAGAGGGTAATTAAGGAGTAGAGGACCCAATATGTGAGCCATTGCTTGTCATCGGCATGAGATTGCGTTTCAATTGCCCTGACCGAGGCATATCTATCCTTCCACGAAAGAGAAATCATCAGATCAAGAGCTCGTAACAAATCCCGAAAGAGAAAACCATCTGCTCAGCCATTATAATCTGCTAAAAGAATATACTCATACTATATGAAAAAACCGAAACTTGTTTCGAAAGAAAGAAAAGACGAAAAAGGGTACATAATGTACTGCAGCTTCACTTACAGAGGATACACTAGGCTAACAACAGGCCTGCAAATCACAACCAGTGATTGGGAATTAGCAAAGTTAACTGAAACACAAGAAAATTTTCAACTAGTTCACTGCGAGTCGCAGTATGCGACTTAGCTTATTTCATTCCAAGAGATGAAAAAGATTCAGACAAATCGATTTCTGGCATTCATCAAATTTTGCAGCAGTTATGTCTCGGAATTCTTATGACCCGCCTCGGATAATGAAAGGACCAATGAATAGGTTCATGATTCGCATCAGATTCCACATGGATGGAACTAGAAAAAGCAACTAAAACACCAAATTCACTCCTACTTTGCTGCTCATGACCAAAGATGAACACTTGCAGCAATTGTAACTCATGATTTCTATGGCCCACATCGCATAATGGAACGGCAAACAGGAAATTCCATGATTAACATCAAATTCCATATGAACTCGATATTATTACTCTTATCAATATCAAAATTAGAAAATAAAATCCGAAACAAGAGGCTCGACACAACGTATTCTGCAGCAACAATCAACCAAACTACACATGGCAGATCCCAAAAAGGTAAATGGGTTGCTCATGGTTGAGAAAAAACAGTCAAAACGGTCCAAGATCAATAACGAACCACACGGAGCAGACAACGGAGAAGAAAGAGATCAAGGGCAAAGATCAAATAGATGAAGGTAGATGATAGGTTGCCGGAGAAATACAACGACGAGAGAGAGATTGGAATTGGGGAATACCCAGCAAGAACATCGAAGTTCTTGAAAAGAACCTTGAGGAAATTCCCAGCTCCAGATCCCATGACAAGAGCTGATGTGCGAAATAACCTTTGATTGTATGATTCTGGTTGCAATCGAGAGAGAGCGAGAGAGAGTAAAGTGTGAGTCACCTTGCAGAACAGTGAGACAACGAAAAAGTGTGCTTGTGAGCAGTGAGATCGATTCTCAGGCTGAGTGGGCATGTTTATATACATGTAAATAATAAATAAATAAATAAATGCAATGGGTGAAATGGTAAAATGTCTTGTCGGGATGGTTCATTGGCGTGTAAAAACAGGGCCGGACCGGATTAATCTACGGCTGTAAAAAACCAGTTCCAGTTGAACTTGATTCGACCAGTTATGTTTTCAGATTTATGGAGTTTATTTAAATATGAGTCGCAATCAAAATCAGCGAGATCACGAAGATACGGAAACCACATTCCACGAGAGAAAAAAAAATTCAGATCAAAACACAAAAAAAGGAAAGTTACTGCAGCCATGGAAGAATTTTTCAGACATGGCCAAATGGTTCATAAGAACAAAGATGTAACTATTACGGTACAGTGCTTCAAAATATTCCGAAAGGTAAAAAAAGATGTGCCCTTCACTAAATTAACCTCATAGCACAAACTTTACACGTCTGTTATAAGCCTTCCCCCATCAATTCATTCCTCACCATCCTCATCTTCTTCTTCCTCGTCGTCGTCATCATCATCATCGGAGTCATCTTCCTTTCCCTGGAAGACCGAGGGGAAATAAGAAATGGAATACATTGATAATACCATCTGACTCGTGAGAAAATCAGGCCATGATGGAAAAACCGAGCAAAAACCCGTGAATTTTTAGCAGAAAAGTTAACCAATCTAAGCAACAAGGCAAATGCAAGTGTTGATGATAAGAGCATATCAATATACATCAGTAAAAGCTCAAGGTGTTTCGATAAAAAAGATATCTTGTCAGTTTACACAGTTGAACATACCTCTTCATCACCATCCTCGTCTCCTTCAAAATCCTCTTCATCAGCATCCTGCATCATACATCATCATTAGCAAATATCTTCAGGTAAATTTACTCCGCTTAAAAATGAAACAAACAGGACTGAAAAATGAGGAATATATGGTTTACATTATTGAAGTAGGTGAGAGGGTTGGGCCATAAATCTTCCTTGATGATGTCTGCAACCTGCAAGAAGAGGATATACCTAAGATTCAAACTGGACAGATAGAAAACCGAACAATAAGTCCGCAGATAGAGGAACACCTACCTCATCATGAATCTCAAACTCGGAATCTTCCTTTTGTGAAGCATCGGTAAACCAGGTAAAGAAGCTGTACAGAAAGTAGTGTGGATGAGTAGTAGATATGAAATTGCTAACTAGAAAGATACAAGTTTGTAATACATTAACGACAACGAGAATTTTTGTGCCAATTTTCAATTTTCCACTTAGTGCAAGACCATTTGATGAGCAGATGGAAATTACCTCTCCTCAGCTAAGGTCCGTTTATTCCCTTTTTTCTCATGATTAACTCCGTTTGGCAAGCCCTTCATAAGTTCAAATATCGTTTGAAACGGTCGTTAGGATAGACAAATTAGATACGAAACAGTTTGCATTATGCAATACAGACGATGTTTACCTTGCCTTCCTTCCAATTGATTGGTGTGGCTGTGATTTTTGTGGCTCCTTCTTCAAGGAAGGTAAATGTCTTTGTCAGCTTGCCGTTCTCAAAATAGGGATTGGAATTAAAGTGCTGCACCCGAGTAAAGTCACAACAATTAGTGCAACGGTAAACTAAATCTAGACTTCGTCTTCTAAGATTAGCCACACGGAAGAACAATGTTAATGACACAACCAAGCAAGGGAATTGATAGTAAATCTTACAAAAGTTATAGAGTATCCAGATTTGACATCTTTGGCATCCTCTACTTCCAGAAAGCTTAAATACTTGAATATCTGTAGAATAAGAAAGACGGATCAAGAAGGTAATAAGTAAAGCAAGATCAAAGTCCAAAATGCATCTGCAAGGAATGAAAATTTGAATTAAATTTATGCAGTGTGAAGAAAGATAGGCATTGCTTAGAGAAAAACTCAAACCTTTTGGTCCTCTTCTGTTAACAGTTCACCTAAAGCAGGGTGACTCAGGAACTATACAAAGAGTAGAGATTGTTAATTTAGCAGATGAAGTTCTAAATAACACTTGAAAAGTCGTGGGAGGGAGTACTTACAGCAGTTAGCCAGAAGTCTGGGATGGAATTGATAATTTCGTTACGCTTGCCGTAAACGGGTTTGCGTATCTCGTTGTATTTCTGCTCCACTTCCAAGACCTCATCACTAGCCTTTTCATTAATCTGTGAATGGGAGAAATCGCAGATATATACATCAGTAATAGAGTAAGAATTAAATTCCAAGCATATAAAACAGCTAATTGCTGGTTTATGGTACATGGAAGAGAACACGGTAAACTAAACTACTCTACCTGCAGGACTGACCCCTTCTCTAAAATGCAGACAGGAAGAAAATACGATGCAACATATATATATATCAACAGAACATATTGTAGTCAAGTTTATTATCCTCTAAAGGGAGAAATTTATCTGACTCTTGAGCATCATTATTAGTAGGTGATAAGGTTTTGATAATCTCTAATTTCTCAAACAGAAACTGGGAGAAGCTTGTTTCAGAGAACCAAATAATCTATTCAGCTAGTGACAAAGCAGCTACAACGAAATTATCAAAGATTTGAATACAAAGAGAACCAAACAATTATCTGAAATTCTAACAATTATATACGTCCCAAAAGATATCATAGACAGATTATAACTATAATGAAATTCAGAGAAAGAAGAAGCAAGTATGGCCTTCACACTCATAAATGTTCATACTGAAACAAATAACACAACAAAATAGCATTTTTCTACCACTTAGATTCCATTTGATATCCCATATAACACCAAACGCAAGCGATGTAAAGTCTCAACCTTTTTTCCGTAGACTAAAATTGCAGCTTGAATTCCTCACACAGCGCATCATGTTTCTAAATATCAACACAACAATGCATAAACTCAAGCTAGCATGTAAAACAAATAACCCATCCACGTAAAATTCACGAGTTCATAGATAAAGATAACAACTTCAGGCATAATTATCAACATAACTCTCACCATTTATCCAAATCCAGCAACAAAGCAGACTTAAGAGAAATCTTGTCAGCGCAAATTTTAATCGAATCTCAATTCGAATTTCGTGCAGAATGAATAACCCATCAACAAAAATCACCAGACCAACAATTTCTAACCAAAATTTCGCTCATTAACCAGGTAAAACAGGGCACACGAATCCAGGAACAACGAAAAATCCCATAAATTTGTGCAACGAGACGTCGAAATAAGAAAAGGATTTCACCTTCTCGAGCTCATCTTGGATCTCCTGAAGCTTTTCAATGGAAAGAACAAGCTCTCCGTCGATTTGCTCCGCGTTTTCTTCTTGGGGGTTCTCCTCAGTTTTCGCCTTCTTGCTCTTGTCCGCCACCATTTTCGCTTCACTCACAATCCTTGAAAGAATCTAATTACTAAATCTAACCCTAGCAAAAGGAGATTTCGGCTCCTTGTTCTCCTTCTGTTCCGTCTGAAGAGAAGTAGCTAAAACCCTAAAGTTCTGATGTATAAGTTGGTGAAGTGCGAGGGAGGGCAACAGAGTTAGGGTTTTGGGGGGTTTATGTGGACCAATAAGATCTTGCCATTTGTACAACTAAGGGTATTTTCGTCAACTTATAAACCACTATGGGTGCTTTGGACATTTTCCTTTATATACCTTTTCTTTCTTTCTTATTTTTTTTACAATCTCAAAATCAATAATAATAGCTAATAATAATAATAATAATAATAATAATAATTCAATGATTGATATATATATATATATAGTCATTTTAATATTAAAACATTTTTTATTTTACAAACTTTTTTAACTTAACCTAATAAAATATTTAAGTTTTGTCTTTGAAATAGTTGGATGATACTATATTATCATCTCTAGCAATTTTTCTACAAACTTACAGAATTTTATATCATATACTCAAAAGATAAAAGCAAAAAATCTTAAATTATAAATTCTAACTCTCTCATATTAAAGTAATTTTAAAGAAAAAATATTAAGTGACATTTCTTAGAAAAATGAATAAAATTATACTTACAGCATAATCGAACCCCACTTAAAAGATTTTATTCCAAATAAAAGAGTTATCTTTACTATTAATTTTATAAATTTAAAGTTATAAATATAATAAAGCGAGGACCAAAATGCAATTACGAGGCTAATCATTGTGAGACATTTTCCTTGGATAAAAAATTATCAAATCGCAACCAACCAGAAGATGATTCTCGACATTGATTGACTTTTTATCTTTTCTAATTCCCCTTTCCTATTTATTTATTTTTATTATTATAACAAATACCCTTCACTACTGATTCAAATTCTATTATTAATTTATAAGAAAATATATGTGAATATAAATTGAATTCGATATTATTATCCTTTTTAATTAAAAATCGAAGAGAAAAAGAGAGGAAAATGGAAAGATGTGGAGAGTGGGATTTGAACCCACGCCCTTTCGGACCAGAACCTTAATCTGGCGCCTTAGACCAACTCGGCCATCTCCACTTTTGTCTATCGATTCTTCAAAATATTAATTCCAATACTACTGCAATGCATTCCCCTCTTAGCGGGATTTTCTCCGCCGGGTTAGCCGTCGAAGCTGTTCGGAGAATTCCAGGTAAACCTTACGAATATTTCAATCGATGGTTCGCTGTCGGTCAGTTTGTTTGATTGATTCGGAATTGAGATTAGATGATTTCCCCCATAGATTTCTGGGTTCGCGTTGAAAATGGCTAAATCAGTCATACTTTATCACGTTCTTCGATTCCCAGTTTCTTTCTTCTTCATAGGATTTTCTGGGTTTCCGAGGGCTTCAAGGACCTAAATCGTGTTTTGAAGCACCTCAATGGGTACTCGTCTACTCCCCAAGCATGTAGCCGCAGTTATCAAATGCCAGAGGGATCCTATAAAAGCCCTAGAAATCTTCAATTCGATGAAAACAGAGGATGGTTTCAAGCATACGTTGTCTACTTACCGAAGTATCGTCGAAAAGCTCGGCTTTCATGGAAAATTCGAGGCCATGGAACATGTCTTAATGGAAATGAGACAGAATGTGGACAGTTGTTTGCTTGAAAACGTCTATATCGAGGCAATGAAGAACTATGGTCGGAAAGGGAAAGTTCAAGGAGCTGTTAACGTGTTTGAGAGGATGGATTTCTATGAATGTGAGCCCACTGTTCTGTCTTACAACACTATCATGAATATTCTGGTCGAGAATGGTTACTTTGATCAAGCTCACAAGGTGTATATGAGGATGCGGGATAAGGGAATAACCCCGGATGAGTACTCGTTTACGATTAGGATTAAGTCCTTTTGCAGGACAGGACGGCCTCACGCCGCTTTGAGGCTTCTCAACAACATGCCGTTTCAAGGGTGTGAGCGGAATTCGGTTGCCTATTGCACGGTGGTTGGCGGGTTATACGAAGCAAATTTCAGGGATGAAGCATATGATCTGTTTGGGCAGATGCTTGGACAGGGTGTATCTCTCGGAATAAGTACATTTAATAAGCTTTTACATGTTCTATGCAAGAAAGGTGATGTCCGAGAGTGTGAGAAGCTACTGGATAAAGTTCACAAAAGGGGTGTTTTGCCAAATCTGTTTACGTATAATTATTTTATCCAAGGGCTTTGTCAGAAAGGTGAGCTTGATTCTGCTGTTCGTGTGCTCGGTTGTCTCATTGAGAAGGGACCGAAACCTGATGTTGTTACTTATAACACGCTAATCCGTGGGTTATGTAAGAATTCCAAGGTTGCTGAGGCAGAGACGTACTTGGGAAAGATGGTTAATGAAGGATTGGAGCCTGACAGTTTTACTTACAATACGCTGATAAACGGATATTGCAAGAACAGTATGGCACAGAATGCAGAAAGGATTCTGAGTACAGCTGTTTCCAAGGGGTTCGTGCCCAACGAAGTCACCTATCTCTCCCTAATTGATGGGTTGTGTCAAGAAGGAGATATAAATCGTGGTCTAGATTTATTCAATGACGCTGTGGGCAAAGGACTAAAGCCTAGCATTGCTATTTACAACAAACTGATAGAAGGGTTGTCAAAACAGGGTCTAATTTTCGAGGCAAATCAGCTGATGAGTGAAATGTCTGATAAGGGTTGCAATCCTGACATATGCACTTATAACATACTCATTAACGGATTATGCAAGATGGGTTGTGTTTCTGATGCCGATGGACTCGTAAATGTCATGATTTCCAAAGGTTACTTTCCGGACATTTTTACTTTCAATACTTTGATCCATGGTTATTGTATGCAGTTGAAAATGGAGAATGCCCTTAAGATCCTAGATGTTATGTTGGACCATGGTGTTGATCCTGATGTATATACTTACAACTCCTTGCTTAATGGTCTCAGCAAGACATCAAAGTATGAAGATGTGATGGAAATTTATACAACAATGATTGGCAAAGGTTGTGTTCCTAACTTAGTAACGTTCAACATACTTCTTGAGAGTCTATGCAGAAACCGAAGACTAGATGAAGCATTGGGAATGCTACAGGAAATGAAAAGTAAGGATGTAAACCCAGACTCTGTTAGTTTGGCGACATTGGTCCAGGGCTTTTGCAAACACGGGAATTTGGATAGAGCTTACAAACTGTTCCGGAAAATGGAAGAGGTCTACAAGGTTTCAAAGACCACAGCAACATATAATATCATGATTAATGCTTTCATGGAGAAGCTAAATGTTAAAATGGCTGGAAAGCTTTTCCAAGAGATGGATGATCGTGGCTTTGTACCTGACGAATACACATACCGGGTTATGATTGATGGTTTCTGCAAAGCAGGAACAGTCAATTTGGGTTACAGGTTTTTGCTCAAGAAGATAGAGAAAGGGTTTATTCCATCGCTTACGACTTTTGGACGTGTGGTAAACTGTCTCTGTGTTGAGGATAGAGTCTTTGAAGCTGTTGGCATCGTCCATCTCATGGTGCAAAAAGGAATAGTACCCGAGGTTGTGAATACGATTTTTGATGCTAGCAAGAAGGAGGTAGCTGCTCCTAAGCTTGTTGTGGAGGATCTACTGAGGAAGAGTTGCATTACATATTATGCTTATGAACTCTTACATGATGGCCTTAGAGATAAAAAGCTACGCAAGAAAAAGGCTTTCAGACCGGTAACCATCTGACAGGAGAGGTTTATGTCAGATCTGTTTGCTTGATGAACAGCTCAAACTTTTCCGTTGTAAGCATTCCCAGGACACGGCATCTTTTCCCGAAGAAGATGGTAATTCTCATTCATCATCGGTTTTACTTCTTTCTTCACTGCATTGCTTTCTTGTAAAGGCAGTAGTCTCAAATTTTTTTTACCAGGTGACGGCAAGAGAGCCTTAACCAACTAATATGGATGATAATATATCTGTAGATATATCACCTGTATCATTAGGCTTCCCGTTACATGCTGGTTAGTATCTTGTTGATCATACAGATTTATTGACATTAATCATTTGTTTATTGCATAAAGACAACCTCCCCTTTTAATTCATATGAATCAAAAGATTTTTGTTGTTTTTGGGGTATTCAACAACTGTTTCAACTGCAACTAAATTCTTTTTTTTGAAACATCCTATCTGATTTGGAAAAAAAAAATCAGAAATGGTTCAGCTTGAAAGATACATGATACAATTCAAGTATACTCAACTAAAAAAAAAAACACTTCTGTCTTGATCTTCAACTGGTCCTGTAACTTTTTCTGTAATTCAAATTATGTGCACCACCACTGATTTGTCAGGTATGATGAGCTTCAAGTTCAGACCGGAACATCTCCATCGGTATCTGAACACCCTCATTTCATGCCAAACCCGCGCCAGAGCCTGAAGATTGCGGCAATAGCTTCTGCATATCAGATAGAACTCCACCCGGGTTCCTTCCTTACGCCCATCCGTTTCATCAGGTTTCGAATCTCTTCCACTTCATCCCACTCACCGACCTCTGCAAGAACGTTTGAGAGGGAAATGTATGACCCGGAGTCTGATGGCTCTAGCACTATGACTTTTTTTGCTGCTAGCTTTGCGAGCTCAACATCCCCATAAAGTTTGCAAGCAGCAAGCAATGTTCCCCAGACCAAGGCATTGGGTTTGATGGGCATATCGTTGACAAACCTCTCAGCCTCTTTAAGTCTTCCAGAGCGCCCGAGGGCATCGACCATTGAAACATAATGGCGGATTTCAGGTTCGATTCCATAGTCTTTTGCCATTGAGTTCAATAGGGCATAGCCTTCTTCAACTAAACCACCATGGCTACAAGCAGACAAGATCTCTACAAAGGTCACTTTGTCAGGCTTAATTCCATTGTCTTTCATCAGAGTGTACACTTGTAGTGCTTCAACGGCTTTTCCATGTTGGGCATAACTTGCAATCAGTGTAGTCCATGCAATCAAATCAGGGTTATATATCTGGCTGAACGCTTTACAACAATCCTCTATACTTCCAAATTTGGAATACATTTTCACAAGTGAAGTGCCAACAGAGGGTTGTGTGAACAAACCAATTTTTGTGATGTAGGCATGAATTTGAGCTCCTAGTGATGATATATCCGAATGTGTAACAGCTCCAAGCATGGATGAAACCGTGAAAGAGTCCATTGCAAAATCAGACATGATCATCTCCTGAAAAACCAGGAATCCATCCTCGACTAACCCGTGTTGTGAATATCCAGAAATTAGCGACGAGCATGAAGCAGTGTCAATAGTGAGTCCATCATAGACCTGCCTTGCCAACTTCAGTGAACCGCATTTTGAGTACATATTTACCAGTGAAGAACCGATAAGTGACCCTTTATCAATCTCTGCACGTAGCGCATGGGAATGTATTTCTTTGCCGATCAGCAGAAGAGAAAGAGAGGAACATGCAGTAAGAACAGCAGATAGAGTGGTCTCGTCCGGAACTGCACCTTCAGACAGCATCTCCTTGAAAAGTTTAATAGCTTCACTTGGATAACCATGTTCTGAGAAACCAGAAATCATCGAAGTCCAGCAAACGTTGTCTCTAACCGGCATCTCCTGGTATACTTTGAAAGAATCTTCCAAATGACCGCATTTGGAGTACATTGTGAAAAGAGAACTACCGACAGAAACATTCACCAACCCGTTTTTAAGGGCGTAGCAATGAATCTGCTTCCCTAGATTTAAGCAATCCATTCCACTTAATAAACTGCAGACAGAAAACTCATCAGGTCTGAAGCCCTTCTGAAGCATTGCAGTAAACAGTTTTACCGCTTGATCATGCTTTTGATTTTGTGAAAACGAAGATATCATCAGATTTCCTAGATCCGGGCTCTGAACGTGATCTGATTCCTCAAATACCAGCTCAGAGAGATCTATTTTCCCCATCTTTGAGTACACATTGATCAAGGCAGAAGTTACTGCAGGATTCATGAGAAATCCACTTTTCAAGACCCATCCATGGATCTGAACCGCTTCACAGAACATAGAAGGCTTAGCACAAGCAGAAATCACACTGGTAACAGTATGGCTGTTGATCTCAGTGCCTAGTTTTCTCATTTCATCGAATACTGCAAGAGCAGAGAAGCCATCGTTATCCTTACCGCAACCAGATAACAGCGCTGTCCAAGAAACAACGTTAGGATTGGGGATTAGGGAGAACGCTTTCCAGGCCATGGCCATACGTCCACACTTGGCATATAGATTCACTACTGCAGTACAAGCAACCACATCTTCAGGTGAGCATTTGATCACCTGGGCTTGAACCTCTTTGCCAAACCTAAGCTTCTCGAGTGCAGCACAAGCGGCCAAGACACTCGGATAAGTGTGACCATCGGGCAGGCAAAGCCCGGAACACATTTCTCGGACAAGATCCAAAACGATACTGTACCGATGATTCCTAAGTGCCCCACCTATGACAACATTCCAACAATACACGTTATCATTACATGAAACATCACGGAAAACCTTATACGCATCTTCGAAGCTTCCAATCTTCGAAAACGTGTCTATCAAAGCCGATCGAACAGTATCATTCAAGAAATAGCCTTTCTTTATCGCATCCGAGTAAATCAGCTTCGTAAGCAGAGGAGCTTGCAGAGAGCAACAAGCTGAGAGCACACACCTATAAGTTATCTCGTTAAGCTCGAAACTCAGAAACTGCATCAAACGGAAAAATCCCCACGACTCATCGAACAAATTGTTCTGGTTGTATCCCGAAATCATAATATTACAAGAAACCACGTCTGGTTGAGGAATTGTGTCGAACAGCTTCCGCGCGTCGACCATGGAAGCGGATTTGGTGTACCAATTGAGCAAAGATTTGCTGAAGAAAACATCATGTGGCAAAGAATGTCGTCTGAGCAAAACAGCGTGGAGAATTCTAGCTGTCTCGAGTGTGCAATGTCTCGAATTCGATTGATCGGCGAAGAACTGAAGAGGGTCGAAAGGAGCCGACAAATTGCTATCTTCCCCGGTAAAGATAGATGAGTTTGGGCAAAAGGAAACTGAAGATAGCAATCTGTAGGAAGAAATCGGATTTCTGATTGAGTAGAAGCTCTGATGGGTGAGAAATTTCATCATCAGTTCATGGTATCAAACCACTCCCTTCTTTTAACGTAGGATTTTTTGTTCTCTCATAAAATCTCCCAAAAAAAGTTCTACAATCTTACTTGCTCTCCAAGAAAGCCAAAAATTAGAGTACCACAATAAATTTTTTTAATGGAATCTATATATTATTTATAATAAGATTCTATTTAGAAAAAAAAAAGTCAAGACTTTATTTTGGAAGATTCGAAGAATTCCGACAACGATTCCCGAAGTTTTCCCCCGCCGCCGATGACGGTCAGGCCTCACCATTGTATCTCTATCCTCAGCATAGCGCAAATGCAAGAATTTAAGAACCCTGACTCAAATCCGTGGCTCTTTCGTCAAATCCGGCGGCCTATCCTACGCCGACCGTCTATTCTTTAGCTTTCCCGACCCCGATGTCTTCATGTACAACGCTCTCGTTCGTGGGTTCTCTGAATCAGATTCGCCGGGTAACTCGATCATGTCCTATGTTGAGATGAGGAAGAGAGCTCTCGCCCCTCCTGATAGCTCCTCGAATTTCCGGTGTTTGGAAACTGGGTGTCAGATGCATTCTCAAGTGCGTTGAAGCGTGGACTCGATCAGCGTGTATGAGAGAATGTGGAAACGTGGAGTTCGCTCACAAGGTGTTCGACGAATTGCCTGAACCGAGCATACTCCCTCTAGACCTGAAAATTACAAGATGGTGACTTATCTCTTAATTTTGAAATATTTGATGAAAAATATGCTCATCAAAATTATTATTCAATTAGAAATTGATGATTATACTATCCAATCGGAAATTGATATGTAGAGTGATAGATCACATATTTTATCTGTAGATATAGTTGTTTCACTGTTGTATTTTTTTTTACAACAGTTTAAAATATTCAGCATTTAACTAAAAATGTGTATCATATATAATATAAAAAGCATCTCTTTCCTTGTTTCATGTTTGAGATCTATGCATGGATATTTTAGTTGGATTATCCAAAAATCAAATTGATATATTTACTTGTCTGTATCAATCCCCCTTCTTTTTATATATATATATAAACACACACGAAAGATAATACATTTTATCAATTTTATAAAACTGAGAGCAATAAAAAGAAAACAACAACAGATTAAAAGGAATCAGTTCTTCCTGTTGTTTTGTTTTCTTACTTGATTTCAACAAATATTCTTTAACAAAAAAAAACAAATATTGATTAATATGAATTACTATCTCCGTAATATTATTCATAGAATTCGACCCTTTCTTCATAAACGGCCAAGTCTCGTGTTACCGATTTGGATATGGACTCCGTAGTTCAAATTTATATATATATAGAGATTATTTATGTTAATTTGTCACATGTCATTTATGTGTGGCATGTAAGGCCAAACATTCAGTTTGGCGGTACATCAATTTGTTAACTAAAAAAAGATTTGATTATATATATATATATATATATATATAAGGCAATATTTAACCCGATTGGATTGGTATAAAAAAAACAACTATAAAAGAACGAGTCCACGCTACAGAATTGTGTATATACCAATGTTGATGTTTTATTTCGGCCAACTTTTTCTAAAAATATTTGCATATGTATTGTTTCTGATTATATTTATTTTCATGTACTATCTACGTTTTTTTTATTCTAACAAATAGGGCTAGGCGTTTCGGTTCGGTTCTTTGAAACCGGACCGAACCGAACCGTTAAAACGGTATTTTTTCCGACCCGAAACCGCTGTTATTTCCCGAATTGTACCATTTTTAGAGAACCGAATTTTTCCGGAACCGAACTTTAAAAATCCCGAAAAACCGAATATTTTTAAAGGAAATCTATCATTTTTTTAATAAAACCCGGAACCGAACCGAACCGAATACAATAAAAAATCCGATTGGTACCTATTTTTATAAAACCGAAAGAACCGAACATATTTATTTCATCCCGAACCCGAACCGTTTCCCGAAACGTTCACACCTAATTCTAACGATACCTTCCATTTTGTCTTAATATTATTTTTTCTATTGTTTTTTTATTATTTATTAGTTTTCTTTTTACTATTTTTTATGATTTAATTTCCCTGTAATTTATCCAAAAAAAAATTTCTAAATTTATTTGATTCCTTATCAATCATGTTTTCCCATTTTTTTCTTTATTAAATTTTATTCTATTTTATTCTATTTTTTAATTTGTTGCGATCGCTATTATATCAAAAATATCCTTACTTTGATATTCTTATTTCAACACATATCCTCCTCTACTTGTGATCATGTGACCCAAAATACAGTGTGAATACATTTTAATTTTATTGATTATAAGGTTAAATTTATGATGATCTCACTAATTCATTATGTTGATACCTTGTATATCTTACTAATTATTTGATTAAAACATCATAAATTTAATGTTATGAATAATGGAATCAACATGTGACCACACTATATTTTGGGTACATGATCACAAATGGAGAATGATATATGTTAAAATAAGAATAGCAAAGTAAGAGTATTTTTTATAATGCCCCGTTGCAATCACAATATTTCCCATTTTTATGTTATATGACATTATCTTTTTTTGTTGTTTCTGTTTTTATTCCATTGCTGATCATATTTTTACTTGTTATATGACTTTTTTTTTTTTATAACCAGGATGATTCCTCGGACCTTCGACCCGACTACATCCACCCTAGGCCCGGGACCAGCCTTTGTATATGGATCATTTTAGTCCAGAAATTACATCTCTCCCCACCAGTGGAATCGAACTCAGGATCTTGTCACCTCTCAACCATTGGGCCACCAACTGTTGGGTACTTGTTATATGACTTCTTATAACTATTAGTTTCTTTTGCCTTTTTCCTTTTATAAAAATGTATATCGTGTAATTATACATTATTCGTCGCTTCAAAACGCACATTTTAACGTAGGATGTATATTAATTTTTATTTTATTTTTGTGTGAAAGGATGTGTATTAATTAGATATCTTGTAAGGGTCCATGTTTGACTTTGACTCAATTCGTTTAAATTGAAAAAAAAAACGAGCTGATAATATAAGGTCGTGCATTTTTTATGGATATGATTATTTCTTTCAAATATATATCTATTGATTATAATTTTCTCAATTAGTCTTGTATCTCTTATATCGATCCAAAAATCTAAAATTTGCAACTTTGGTTTTTCAATATATATGTGTTTAGAATAATTTCATGGAAGAAAACTATCTAATTTTCAACCAGAAGCGGAATTGATTTTTTTTTTGTTCATATTGATCATATTGAGCTTTATCTCATATAAAAAATAGAAATATATAAATGAAAAAACAATCCATGAAATAAATGAGTAATAGCCAGAAGTCAAATTAGGAGGACATTAAAAATATATAGCGCATTAATTAGCCTGTAATATGATTGATAAAAAAAGATCAATCCTCCGTCACCAATCATTCTTTAATTACGGCAACGATTAATCATATTTTCTTCCTAGATCGACAGATAGACACATGACAAAAAAAAAATCGTTTTATTAGAAGCATATATATATATATATTGTTTAATTGATTTTTTATTAATTTTATATGAAATAATTTAAATATTTAAATAATTAAAACTAATTATTGATAAAAGAGATCAATTTTCCGTCACTAATCATTCTTTAATTTCGACAGTGATTAATCCTATTTTCTTCCCAGATCTACAGATAGACATAATAAAAAAATATTCGTTTTATTAGAAGTACATATATATATATTGATTAATTTTTTATTTATTTATTAATTTTATATGAAATAATTTACATATTTAAAGAATTAAAACTAATTTTATATGTATGTATGAAATTATAAATATAGATAATATATATGATATAATATAATTTAAACATTTATTTGTGCCTTTACGAAAAATAAGTGGCTGCTTTCGTATATAGATATACATGTATTATTTTTTTATTTTTTTATACACGTATTATATTGAGTGAACATGCATGCTCTTCATCCGATTTTCACCTTAAAAACATAACGTTTTCGTATGACTATCTATAAATTTATGTAAATGGGTTCATCTTATGAATTCCATTACTCGATTTGCGTATATCGTTTTAGCCGACGAAAACCTTTTCAAATATAAAATTCTAATATAAGTTTCAAGGTAATTTTTTTAACTATTAAATATTTACTAAGGATGTCTTTATATTGAAATTTAACCTTAACTTCGCGTTATAATAACCTGTTATTTAAACTTTTGGTTTTACGATTTATCATTTGTTGAATAACATCCATGATTTGCATGTACAACATGCGCATTTACGCATGACTTCATAAAGCTGTTTTGGTCCACAATTTTCATGCTTCATAAAGTTTTTAAATTTATAGTCACTTAATTGTTTGACCCCAAAATTCTTTCTAATTCTTAACGACCAAAGCTCGTGAGATTTTCGAGATAAATATGAATATATTAGAGGTTTTACCTTTTCTTTTCTTTCTAGAAACGAAAATTTTCATCAAATTTTATCTTGCTGCATATATATATATATATATAGAGAGAGAGAGAGAGAGATTGGTCAACCCGTCTAGAATGTGTAATCCAATTAATCGAATGCCAAAAAAATCAATTAATGTCAGTAATGAAAAGAAAAATAAAGAGTTCGCAATATATATGATGGTCAAAAACAAATATTTGGAATAATCCAGACTCCAATTCCAATATGAGGTCAAATCCATTATGGATGACACTCGAGTATTCATTCTACGAAATGTTTGGATATCTTCAGATACAACAACAACATCGCTTCATTTCCAAGTTCATTTGGAATCGGCCGTATGAATCATTCTTCTCCATTCATTTCGATCTCGGGTTAATTCTTTCATAATCTGCAACACTTCCAAATCGTTTATAATGACACGCTCTTAAATAAATTTAAGTCTATATTTTCCTTTCTTTCTCACCCCTAATTTGGATATATTTAGATAATAGAAAAAAAAAATGATGGCAAACACATAAATTCTGAAGTTAAAAATCTTATAATTTCACCTCTGTTAGATATTTTGGGACGTCGTTTGAAGACTAAAACCTCTTAATCAGATTGAATATCCAAAACTTGAATATTTTTCTACAACAGTAATTTTGGAAATTCCCCGACATTTTTTTGTAACAGAAGATTTATAATAGATTAATAAGATAAAATAATGAAACCCTTTAACAAAAAAAAAGATAATGAAGTAAAAACGATAGTAGACCATGGGGCAATACGCATGCATGTGAGATTTCGTCTCCACCTTCCTTTCCGTATAATAAGTCTAAATAACTATTCAATTGTGACGATCCCAAATTCAACTTTTCACTAACTCTTTTTACCCGTTGACTTGGTCCGGTCGACGTCGGCGAGTTAAGAAACTAATATTGGTTTTTTTTTTTTTGGAATTATATATCACTTAATTCTAACGTCGATCTAAATAATTCTTTTATCATTTTTAAATGTTCATCATATTTAAATTTTCTAGCTACGTGAAAAATCATATATTATACCGAAACATGTTATCGGATCCAGAAAGAACTGTAGCTTGATTTTCTACACATAAAAGAAGCACTAATTTTCACTATTTTTATATGAATTAATTTAAATAATTAAGAATAATCTTAAAGACACCGTAAACATGTAACCCTAATTCCACAAATCTAAATCCGCTCATGCTTTATGTCTCTCTTTTTCCAACTAGAGCATGGAGCAAGAATACCGCTATATACAAACCCTAAAACTTAACTTACGACCGGAACAAAAAGCAGGTCCATCCATGCATGCATGCATGCAAGTATATATATAATTATAAATCTCCGTATATGTCTCTTTTACGTCCGTAACAGAGACCGCACATTGGTCTGCGCACTATCCCACTGAATTCGTTATTGACTGTCACATTTGACTCGTGACTCGAATTATACGATTTCACTCAGTTTGACGGTCCGTTGGCTCACGCGCTCTAACTCGCCGATTTTGTTGGTCACCAAACTATTTAATTTACCTGTTTAAGTGTTTCGATGTAAAATCAACCGAACGATAACAAAAAAAAAAAATCATCATGAGTAAGTTTGTATACATGTTTATAACTTCTTTATGTTTATATAATTGCATAGTTTTTTTAATATAACTTTTTATGTGTCCATACATATGAATTACTAGAAACTTAAAAATATATATATATGAGATCAATTTTTTTTATCAGATTAATTATTTAATCTCATATGAAATCTATGGCAAGATTTAGATATCCAGTTGTCGGTAAATAAATTATGCTCACATTTTTTTTTGTCTCAAGTGAAATCTCCAAATGCTTGTATGTCGTGCCATAAATATTCCGAAATTCATATTCTTAGAGAAGTATAATTTCAGTATAAAAAAACGTTAGGGTTATAAACCAAATTAAAATAATCATTATTGGTTTTGAAACATTAGATTGAATATATTAATTTAAGGAGAGGAACCTTCTACAATCACGTTACCATCGTGCAGAAAGGTTCCAAAAGGGCAACGTCTTTACTAATCGCAAAAAGGAAGATAATTTTTAAAAAAAGTTTTTTTTTTATGAAATAAAATTTTTAAAAAGTTAATTTTAGAATATGGCTATTTGACAATAAATCCAGATTAATACTTTGGATTTTCCATTAATTCATATGTTATATTGAAAATTTATTTCTATAATATATATCCTCCAAAAAAGTATATAGATTATATTCTGATATTTAGAAGATAAATAAAAATCCAAATATCATGCCCTACATCTTGTTTACTTGGTAAAATTTATGTCTCGAATTTGAATTAGCTTCGGGGCTTGGTGTAATGACAAAAGATTCCATGATTCTGTAAGAGATTATGAGTTTGATTCCACTTTTCAACAAACCTGTTATTCTTTGGATGAATTACACATTTCATATAGTTTGCATACTATTACATAGAGTTATAGATTTATCATCATGTCTGAAGGGTCGTGGATGAGTTTCCACCGTTAAACAACAAATCCTGTATGGTTAATAAAATTCCAAAGATATATAAACACCAATAGAAATAAAATAGATACTAGATCACTCACACATCCATCACATTATGAACACCTACCATCAAATCACCATAAAAAAAAAAATTAATGCACATGGTCACCGGATACTATTTTATAATGCAAGGAAAAAAACGGAGCTTTGATGAAAAAAATATATTCTCAAGTAAAAAGATAAAAATAGCCCTTTACTACAACAAAGATAATATTTTTCATTTTTTAGTCTTACAATAAGTTTTTAGTTTAATTTTTAATACAAAATTAAATTCTTTTCATCTACTTTATCATAACTAAGTTTTGGATTCTAGAATCTATCATTTGACATTTACAATATGAATTAATATATGGAGTATGTTCATAATACTTAATTACAATTTTTTTTTGGTTTAAAACTTATTACAAATTTCATATTGATCTTAGAGTTGAAACAACATATATAGATTAATATCTCCGACTTACCATCCTGAAATAATTTTAAATTTACTAATATATGATGGTAGAGGACTTCAATATGGATGTTTCATTTTTTTTCCGCCTAATGATTTTTCCTTGCAACCCATAAGAACTTTATATAATAAAACACAGAAAAGCGCATATTACATAATTAACTTACATAATTTCCTAGCAACCATATGTTAAGCAAATTCACGTACAGTTTGACTGCCCGAAAACGTAAAAGAAAGACACTTAATTACTCGTGTTTTTGGTGCCATCCTCCTTGATTAGAGGAGAGAGAGAGAGAGAGAGAGAGAGAGAGAGAGAGAGAGAGACTTTTGTGGCAAAAAGCAAAAAACGAGTAAATGCTCATCGCTGTCCGTATTGACTTTACGGTCAGCGTACAAGAATACATAGCAACACCAGTCTTGTCTTCTGGTGTCTTTGTATAATACATAAAATCAATACGGTATCTACATTTCGACACATACGCTTCTTTATGTGTACGTTCCTTTTCTCTGCATATAGACAAACGACCCATGACGTCTGTCTTCCTCGTCAATATCCATGTAGTTCATGTACCTCTTCTTTTTTTTTCCCTTCTCTCTAAACACCAAAATCCATTAAAAGGGGGGAGATGAAGAAATGGTCTTTCCAAATCCAAATTAGAGAGTTCATGAGAAGAAGACCCTTGTTGGTAAAAGCCAATCTAGTGTTCCTACTTCTATAGATAAGTCCGCATACACGTAAATATATATATATATACACACACACACACGTCTACAACAGTAGTCCTATATATGTGTATCTACATATGCATGTGTAACAAATAAACATACGCAAGGAGTGGATATGGGAAGACCACCTTGTTGCCACACAGCCATCGTCAAGAAAGGGCCATGGACGCCGGAGGAAGATATCTTATTGGTCTCTTATGTTCAAGAACACGGCCCCGGGAATTGGAGATCTGTTCCTACTAATACAGGTCTTGATCATCATCACCATCACCATCACATCATCATCAACTTGTTCTTCTTCTTCTTCCTCCTCCTCCACACCTCTATATTGCTGATTTTTGCAATCTCTCCAATATGCTTTACCCTTTATATTCTTCTTTCTGGTATTCAGGACTGCTTAGATGCAGCAAGAGCTGCAGGCTTCGGTGGACTAATTATCTGAGACCGGGCATTAAACGAGGAAATTTCACGGAGAATGAAGAGAAGATGATCATCCATCTCCAAGCTCTTTTGGGAAATAGGTGAGTACATCTTCTTTCTCTCTTTTCTTGCAATCTCCGATTTTCAAAATACAAAAAATAATATGCGTTATCGTTATCTGTCTATATGGCCATTTAATGGATAGTCCACCGACTAAAAACGGAAACAATAAAGCTCATTTGTACACTATGCAACATGAACTGAAGGTTATATGTGCAAAGATGTTATGTTAGATCTTAGAATTTTCTTTAACTCAATTCTAAACAAGGATTAGTTCATGTTTTATCTGGAATGTGAAGATGGGCAGCAATAGCATCTTACCTTCCACAGAGGACCGACAATGATATAAAGAACTATTGGAACACACACCTAAAGAAGAAGCTAAAGAAGCTTCAGACAGGGCTCGAAGACACGAAAGCATCTTCCAACAGATCCAACAATAAGAGGGTTCCGGACAAAGGCCAATGGGAAAAGAGGCTTCAGACAGACATGAACATGGCCAAACAAGCCCTTTGTGAGGCTTTGTCAATAGACAAACAACAATGTTCCACCACTCATCCCAACCTTCTCTTCGGTCCATCGAAACCCTACCAACCTTCCTCTTCCGCTTCCACTTCCGCAACGAAGAGTACTTACGCTTCGAGCACCGAGAATATCTCGAGGTTGCTCCAAAACTGGATGAGATCTCCGCCAAAATCGTCCATCAGCAGTGTTCATGCCCATGATCAATCATTGTTGAGCTCAAACTCGTGCAGGAATTCGGAATCCGGGTCGGTGGATGAGAAAGCGAATTTAACTCCCGAGACAAGCACGTTAATCCAAGGTGAAAGCAAGCCAAACAATGAGACTACTCAAGGTTCATTGTCATTGATAGAGAAATGGCTGTTTGATGATCAAGGGTTGGTCCAAGGTGGCGAAGATCTCATTAGCATGCATAATCAAGAGTTGTTCTAAGAGAAATCTGCTCTTGTAACTTTACTTTATTTACTCCATGTTCTTGTTATTTTAGTTAGATTTACTGTGAGCGTAAGGCTGGCTTGTCGTGTTCCTTAAACCAAGAAGTAAAAGAGTCAAAACTGTGAAAAATGAAAGTGTTGTGGAGTTTGAAATAAATGAAATGTGTACATTGTTAATGCAGGTTTAGACCGGTTTAGTTTGGTTTAATTTCCCAATATTCGTATAAAAAATTGTGGTTATTTCTTCAATTCTACCTTGATTCTCAAAGTCGATGTGGTATGAGAACCAATTTTTTTTTTTTTTTTTTTTCATTTTGGAGATCTATGAATCTTTTGTTTGATTCGATTGATTTTTGGATCTTCACCATTTAATTTCTGATTCATCCATATATGTTTTATTCTTCCCTATATTCCTAATGAAAATGGCAATCTCCGATTCTGGAGGTGTTGTATATGTATCCAATTGTAGAACATATATAGTTTCTTGTATAATTCTTTAAAGAATTAAAACGAACCAAATCGTATTAAACCGACCGCACTATATAGTTTTTAATTCCTTCTTGTATTTTTGAAGTTTTAACTATGATTTCTCCATGTTTGGAAACTTACATAACGTAGTCATTTTTAAATAGAAATATTATTTATTAAGGTAGATGTTGCAATAGCCTGCGAAAAAACACATAATGTGCGTTTTAATTTTTAACCATGGTTTTAATTTTATGATTCTCAGGCCTTCAACATAATATATAGACACAACTAGCCGTATGACATGGTAGATAATTGGGGGTCTTATTGCACAATTCAAAACATGAGGGGCCAAAGCGGATTAAAACTCGCTTTGAGGTATGTTTAGATAAATATTTTTGCCCTAAAATCCGCTACAAATTTGCTATATTTTTAGATTTTCTTTTTATTTCTTTAAACCAATGAAATAAATCCGATCACCAAATTCAGATGGAAAGACTTATAATACAAAAAATTCTAACTCTTTAGAGCACAAAATTTTTAAATTACAAATTTAGAAATATCGACCGACATTTTTAATATATCTAACAAGAAATATATAAATTTTTTTTATAGAATCCAATATATTTAAATATGGAAAAAAATAAATGACTTTTTGAGAATCACGAGAGCCGCAACATCGAAGCATGAGAAAAACGAACTCGAAAGTCGAAACTGTATCAATATCAACCGCTTAGGATGAAATATTCTTGCTGGAGAAAATGCCAAGTTTATTTGATAATACTAATTTGTTATAATTGAATGATTAAAAAAGAATGCACATATATATATATATAGTATATTTTATTAATTAATTGAATTTAAAAGTTTAATATTTTATTTGATATTATTTTGCATTTCTGTAAAAATAAACAAATATTTCCACTATATACATATTGTTTTAGACATCAACGACCGTTAATTTTATAAAAGTATTTCTCACCATCATCAAAATCGAGATTATTTCTATATGGGAATAACATTTCGTAGATTTTTACCATCACTCGCATAAATATTCTCTACCATCTTGGTAAATTACCATGGGTTACCCAACTCGACTCGATTCGACACGTGTTTTTATATTTAAAATTTCAAAGAGATATATTAAGCACAAAAAATTTTATTTCTAGCATTTTGTTTCCACATTGGCTATGCACTAGAAAATGTAAAAAAAAAAAACTTTCATGCTGAATTTACTAAAATTAAAAATAACATATGCATATGCGATTTGGGTGCCGGCCGCATCTTCGCATGTTTTCTCGTTAATTTTTTTTTAAAAAAATCCGATTCCATGTACGTCCCATATATGTGATGCTCACATATATCACTTATGGTCCATTGGGCTTTCATATTCATCCCGTCATAGTGTTTTATTTCGTTGGAAAAACGATATAGATTTGTAATGCAATGATGTTGTAAAATAAAATATTTGAATTTTCAAAGTAATTTTGCTATTTTTAAAACAGATAATATTTTATGGCTATATATATATATATATATATATATATATATATTAACTGAGATATATAACAATCAGTTACAATATTTAAATTGATAGAAAATCGTTCCAAATTGCAGCCTACGAATGTTAAAAATATGATCACGCAGAATTTATTTATCCATGTTTTAAAGTTGTAGTCGAGATATAATGACATTTTTTAATGAGAGTGTGAAATGGTTTTAGGGCTCGTATCTGAAAATTTCTCCCAAACCACCCATGTGTGAATTATGCTGTTTGTACCAGACATTCTCTACGTAAAAAATATATATATATATATCAAATTCAAAAAAAAAAAGTAAGCGGCGTATATGTAGAAAAAAAAACCCAATGAGAAGTCTCTTTTCATGGGCCTTTCCAGATGTCCTTCATGCGTTTAAATGGGCCCTAGGGCTCTCCTCATCATTCCATTACAAGACAGAAACTAACAAAGAATACAATGGGGAAAATTCCCACGCAACAAATTAGGTGTGGGTCTGCAATTATACATACGTTGTTCATCAACATAATACTTTGGTCTCAAACAAATCCAAATTTACTTTATGAAATTTAAAAAAAAAAAACGTATTATTATCATCATTGCCTCGTGCCTTTTGATTGATTGGGAATATGGCCGGGCCCCTCAACCAATTTCAACTTCTTTTAGTCATTTTGACAATTACTTGTCACCTAAATAAGATTATATAGATGGTCCAATTTATTATCTCACTCGCATGCATGATGCAAGATCTTTAACGAAGAAGAAAGGACTAAATCAAATGAAAGAAAAGGACATAAATTAAAGTTTCAATTTGAGAAAAAAAAAAGTTTTCCATGTAAGTGTGTTCACGTAGACACTGGAGAAGAGGATAGCCGAACCCCCGTGGAATAATGAACTTGTGTCCGCTTCTTTTACTTTGGTCGGACAATGTGTGGACCTTCATGTTTACCTCTTTGTTATTGAAGTTATTGAAGTTGTATTGACGAATGCGATAATGTTTCGGGTTAATTTTCGGGTTAGATTTCCCGTTACAAAAGTAAATATCGATTTGTGTTTCATAAACATCTAAAAAGAAATCGAGCATGTGATTGTTAACTAGGGATTAAACAGAGCGTGCATGGTTGTGGAGTTTCGACATCAAGACACAAGTTATGGTGAAAGTAAAACTATTCAAGTATGAGATGATTATTTATGTCGATCGAATTTTAAGCCATATGATATATATATATATATATATATATATATTACGGTGTTGAATTCTATTATCAAATATGATATAATACAAAAGATGATTACAAAAATATATATAGTTTTTTTTAACCGAATATCCTGGGTCGAAACCCAAACTAATCTCGGTATCGGAAGTCAGCCACGTGCCTTGAATTATACGTCCTCCCCAATTTGAACAAAAAAATATATAGTTATCTGTTAACAATAAAAAAAATGTAACACATTGCAATGTAGCTAGGAAACTTGGAAAACCCTAAAACTGGTTCTCTTCTTATTCTTCTTCAGATCGTTCCCAGCGTATATCTTAAAACATTTCCGTCCTCAAACTTGGTTTAATGGAAAAAAAAAATTCAACACTCATCCACTTGTTTTTTGTTACTCTTTTGATTGATAAATATCATACAACATTTTATTACCAAAGAATGAAATTATATGGGAAGAGTTTCAAGTAATTGTGACTTTATATATATACGCTGTGAATGAACATAATTAATAATATATGTAAATGTGGAGTTGAAAGTTTAATCTCGGCACTAAATGCTTTTGAAAAGTAGATTCGTCCGTATTTTAATGAAGATCCAATGAATTCGATACTATTAACATTAATCAAGCAGCCTGTCCGCAAATGCAAAAGGAGATTATAAGGTTTGTGACATTAATTTATGACAAAATCTAAGAGAAGATTTAACTTTAGTTGTTGTCGAAAAGTTTTTTGTTTGGCCAATTTAGTTGGTTTTTGGATATGACATATGCTTCAATCAAAAGTAATTTAATGCCTGCATGAGTAGAGTTGGTTCTAGTAAATTTGTACCATATTTGTAATTGTCGTATATCTTCAATTTTTATAGGCATTGCATGATGACACGACACCCTCATAGATAATATATATATATATATATATATATATAAACACTACAATGGTCTTTTCCCCACCAATATTTCCAATGGCACGTTGATAAAGCAACCAATAACGTCGTGGACTTTGGAGATAAAAAAAAAGTCTTTTTAGCCATTTTCCTTTTATTTATTTCTAGTTGCTTCAAAACCTATTTTTTTATATAAAGAATAAAAATAAATATAAAAACCATTAAGAAGAAAGGATTTGATAACATGATTGGATATATGTGGGCCATTTGGTTATAAATTAATTGCTTAGTAAATAAAGAAATGAATCCATACCACCATACACACACACACTCACTCGTGTTGTATAGAATCAAAAAACTTGATACGTGTGTATCGAGTCTAAAATATATAACCCGATTCACAACTCACCGCAAGGATACGGATCGTCGTAACACGGGGTCGAACACAAGGACCGGTTGCTAAATCCAAATCTAGATCGAAAATAGATCAAAGCAAGCAAGCAAGTGATGGTGGAAATATGTAGAATCAATGGTAAGCAATATAAGAAAGCAAATAAAAACGAGTGACCTATCAAACAAGGATGACTACGGGCGTCGGGATCGTATTCGCGTGTATGGGTATTTACTAAGCATGCATGAATAACGATTATGACTTGTATTCGGGAATCATCAAGCAACAAAGATAGAGAATTCACCTCTCGGTCTACTAACTCCCTACCTACAGAGTAACTCGTCAATCTCTCGATCTATTCAAGTTAACCCTAGGTGCATAAAGAACGCTATCATCAACCCTAAATCGATTAAACCATATCTCTATGTGAATAATACGATCTATCCTATTGATTTTGATCCGAAACAAACCTATATCTCTATGTGGTTCAGAATCCAAGATAATTGATCAAGGGGTTAGCAAACATCAATCCAATAAAAGTGCAAATCAATAGAACCGAAACAAATCAAAACCAAAATCCAAGTTAGGGTTCAAACATACCCAAAACACATACGAATCCCTAACCCATAGCCGTGGATCTACTCACGGTTCATAGAAAACAATAGAAAGAACAGAGAAAAAGAGATAAAAGAGAGGAAAGAAAGTCTCATGTCGATGTCTAGTCTTCACGATCGAATCT